CAACCCAAGAAGTGAACCGAATTTCTACAATTTCTTCCTACAATAGGTCATGTTTCCATAAGCATTAGAAGACTGCAGCCAGGATTGTATTATATCAAAATGGCAGAAGGTGGTGGGCAAGAAAAGACCCGATGGATTACAACAATAATTATGAGTTCATCACTTCAGGTATGATATACTAATATTGTTCATAAAAGTTTCTACAACCATGGGTATCAACTTTAAATAACATCTTCTGTTATAAACAAATTGGGCCTGCACATTCCAAAAGCAGCCAGTTTACAGCTCAGACCAAGAACACCTAATGTGCAATCACATCTTAACTTCAACAATGCATCAGTCCGGCAAAACATCTATGTTAAATAAAACAAACAAAGATTGTGATTATGGAATGAGAAATAATTGAGAACATAACATTCTGGATAGGAGGAAGAGGAGAATGGAAACCCCTTATTAGAAGATGTATAGGTCATGGATAGTGTAGAACAAGGAGAAGAAGAAATAGAATGGGCACTTAAGAGGATAAGGGTGGATCCAGGCCATCTTGTCTGCTGTCTTTTCTCTTAATGTATTGGTGCCTGGTGGCATGACTGTTGGCCCCTCTTGTCTGATGGCATTCCTGCTTAATGCCAAACATATTCACAATAAGTAATTGTTTAAATTGTGCTCTGATCATTGTTGAGGAAGCTGATCTACCCTTCATCACTGAAACCTGAGTGGGGTTGCTGTGCCTACCTGGGTACTTGGTATAGCTTCCACCCAGATTAATGGGTTGTGGTGGGAGGAAATTGCTGTGGTGTCTAAGAATGTATCTTGCTCACCAGCAAACCGCTCTGGATCAGGGTAGGCTATGAAAGACTTTCCAGCTCTGTGGAACCCAATGTGCTCCCGGGATCTCTGGTGAGTCCTGGGCAATGAAACAGGCAGGGAAATGGGTAGCAAAAAAGTGTTGGAAGACTCATGAGGCTGATCAGACACAGATGGCAGTGCATAATTTTGCCTTCTGCATGGTGGTGAGGGCAGCAAAGAACGCCTCTTTACCACCTCCATTGCATCTTCAAGTAGCTGTCCAGTAAACAGGTTCAGGAATGTGTTGTCTTCTTCTCTAGTAAATCCTATGTTGGAGACTCTGTAATAATTTTGTGAGATGCTCTGAGGATAAAATCACTCAGCTTCATGTTGACTTGAATGCTGAGGCTGAATGTGGAGAAATGATGGGACTGTGGTTCCCAGGAGTTTGTATGGTAATCAGGGTTTACCTGTTCTACATGAATCTGTATTCCCTCTGTAGGATCTAATATGGAATTTGAGAGCTTTCATGGATTCATCATTTTCATTAGAAGCCCAAGTAGCTGTGGTGAAGAGAAACTGGCTGATATATCATCTATACCCTTTGTTGGGCAGGGATAGCCTAGCCACTATAGTCTGCACTTTGGTAACTTCTTAATTAGATTACTATAAGGCAGGCGGTGCAAAATGTGGCAACTGGGATGATGAATGGGGTGCCTAGCAATGCACACAAAACAGAACAACTGCATTGGCCACCTATTGACAACTGAGTGGCATATAAAGCCTAACTGTTGCCATAAAAAGCCCTGTGCTTCCTGAGACCAAGTTACTAGATAGATTGCTTTCCCCAACCCAACCTGTGCTATCACTAAGCATACTGAAGACGGGTTTGTTTGTTGTACCACAACCTGTTGATTACCAGCTTACGGCAACCCAGAAACAGACCTTCTCCATGTTAGTACTGAGTTGATGGAATGCCTGCTCCTCTGGAATGTAGGAAGTGCCAACTGTGGCATGTTTTAGGTACTAATTAAAGACCCTTCTCTTTACCCTGACTGATTGTCCTGCTCAGTTTGTAAATTATGATCTTTTATTGGTTTGACTGTTTTTATAAATGTTTTATATAAACATTTTAGCAATTATTATGTATTTAATATTATATTAATGTATATCACCATGTATTTTAATGTATCATCTTGTAAACAAGTTTAGAGATAGTTTTAAATATGGTAAGCAATATGTAACTCCTCATGTGCAGGGTACATTCCTCCCACTGATTTATTAATCATGTACCCACATGACTAGAATTAAGTTCTCCATATTAAAGACATCAACAGACCAGCTTCTTATTTAGAAAAATAATGGCAGTGTGGCATGAAGGAATTGACTGAAGTTCAAGAATATTTTCATTCACCCAATATTGGTGACTGCTGCAGAATATATGATCATCTGAGAATGCATGCATGTTGAAGAGTTGGTCTGCACTATTTCCTGTGTTCCTACTCTCCTCCACAAAAACAGACAGACAAAATCACTGTACCGTTGTTCAGCTACAATGCCTCAAAAGCACTGACCATATTAACACATGCAGCTCAAGGAAATCAAGGACATCATATCCTACCTAGCAGAAAAATTACTGTAGCCTTTTACCCAGACAATGGTATATCTGGGGGCATAGAATCAGTAGAGTATAGTTAAGGTGTTATCGTTGCATTTTGTGCACTAATGGATGGAGGCAGGAGTATAGAAATTCCCCAATGAACCATGCCAAAGTTCCTATCTGAGCCTCTCTGTAGGCTGGCAGAAGAAAAAATATGGCAACATGGCTGAGAGCTCAGAGCTGGGTACCAACTAGCCATCTTTGGAGAGGCCTATCTTGTAAAATGTCTGAGAAAATTAGGGTAAGTTAGCCAATATCTATATTTGTTATATTTGCATATGGAAGTCCTGTATGTCAGGGTAGGGGAGGTACTTTCAAATCACTGTTAAGTACAGCTTCCTAACTGACTGTGGGGAGATGTGTCACATTTTTGTGCTCTTTCTGCTGACATTTGGAATTGTTACCCACTTGAGGTCATCTCTGCTTTCCCACAGCTAAAATGTATTTTGCATTGACTTTTTGTTAGTGCTGCTGACGCTTGCCAATGTGTTGCCTTTCCCTTTGTTTCCCCTCTGGAGTCGTTCTTTAGTTTGTTAATAGCAATTGCAGAAAGCTGTGAGCAGTCATAATGACAAACAGGTGATGCAGAAAGTGCTATAGAAGGTTTTTACCTGGGTTCTCTTTGCTTTCAGGAAGTATTCTGATCAATTAATCTATAATATTGATCTTTATTGTTGCTCCTTTTATAAAATGAACCTGAAGTGCTTTTATTAGTTTTCCCTTTCTTGTTGGAGGGATGTCCTTGAAGGCAATGCATTGTCAGTGTCTTTAAAGTTGAGATTCTTGGTTGATTGGTAAAAGAGAAAATAGCACAATATTTGGCTAGTATAGCCCAACTGTAGAGAGTTATTTACATAAATAGCAGTGGACCTTTTGAAGAGCCCACTGTGACATATTGAGCTGGTTTACAGAGCGCAACAGCTCACTGTGGGTTAATTTACCCCCAAGGAGTTGTGGTGCATACTGGCTGCTGTTATGAACATGCAACCCCTGATTGGAGGTTGTCTTATCATGGAACTACGTCAGTTGGGGTTAGGGTTAGGTTTATTTGAGGATTAAGCAACCTTCACAAGTGATCATGGTTTATCAAGGGTTCTTGTGTCATCCAAATCAAACCCTTGCCATGTTTCTGATCTGTCAGTTATTCATAAAGTTGCCCAGTGGAGTAGCTGAGGAAGAATGCAGCTCAGGCAGTTTTTCAGAGCAAGAACAGTGACATCATCTGTCAGATCAGTACATATTGCATGTGCTTTGCATCAGATCCAGGACAGAATGGTTCAACAGGAGCAATTGCCCTGGGAAGAAAAGAACTGTTAAGTGGCCTGTCTCCCATCCTAAAGGCAGGATCATCCATTGGGCATTCTGCACCTTCACACCCAAACAGGAAGTAGCTCCATCCTGTGGTCAGAGAGAGACTGTGGAACAAATAACCCCAGCTGACTCAAATGAGTAAACCAAGCCACATCCAAACACTGTAGGGCAGCCTTCTTCTTTACTTGGTCTCCTCCCAACCAATACCAACCTGACTGAGCATGTTGATAATTACAGTGCATCTGGAGATCACTGAATTACAGAAGGCTGCTATAAAGAAATAAATGAAGGAGCAGACACTATAAGGAGTGCCTTTGTTGTTCAGATTTAACTGTGGAAATAAGTTCCAAATAAACATGTTTAAGCTAGCAGCTTTGGATTGATGCTTAGCAGCATCTCTCTGTAGGAGTGTGGATACTTGTGCTATCATAAGGAGCTACCACAATTCAAAATTTACCACTGTGCCACTGGAGTTGCTAGACTTCAGACTGAGAGATCTGAGCTTGTGTATTTTAAAATTCTGCTTTCATAGTAGGAAATAAGACAGATTGCAGCTCCTCTTGTCCCTTCCTGCTCTCATTCTGGGTTCACCTTACTTCCCTACCTATTGGGACTTCAGGTGTGACCTGAGAGTTAGAAGTAGGGTATGGAGGACCCAATCAAGGGGAATAGAGGAGAGAATTCAGCTGTATTGTTTCCCATTGTATTAGAAAGTTTAAATGTACAGCACAGATTGCCATACTTCAACCTGACAAAACTTAGTTTCCACAGTATGGCAAGCTGAACACAAACCAGTTTGTTTATAATGGGGAATATTTTAAATAAAAGATCCTGCATGTTTTACAACATATAGTGGAGTGAGAAGGGATGTTAGAGGTTTTACAAATATATGAACAGCATGAATAAGTTTATCTCCTAATTCTAGGAGTTGGAATAATCCAATAAACTTGATTTAAGCACTGATAAAATGAATAACTCTATAGGACACATGATTCTCATGTTTAATTGCCTTCCACAAGATGTGGTGATAGCCACTAGCTTTGATTATGTGGAAAAAGATTTTTAAAAATTGTGAGCTGCACAGAGAGCCCCGATATGGGCTATTGTAGTGGCATATAAATTCAATCAGTCAATCAATCAATGGGTAACTACCAATTGCTGTTATTACAGCTGGATAAACCTCCATGAATGGAGGCAATGCACCTCAAGTGCCAGAATCTGGGAGCAAGAAGAGAGGGTGAGCTTCCAGAATCTCCTTGGAGTGCTGCAGTGATGAAACTTGGACTGATGTAACAAGTCAGTGATGATGGTAGTGGTGCTTATAGCCATGTACATATTTCAAGTTCCTTTTCAACATTGTTAATGGAAATGGACAGATTGGCAAGTAAGTAAACATGTTTTAATATAGAATTTTATAATTTATTTAGGATCATGAAATTTCAATGTCCCTACAAAATCAGCAACATCGGGTTCGATATTCAGAATCAGTAGAAGATGGATCCATTATTTTCTCTCTTTCTGGTACAGTATCTTAAGGGTTTGTTTGTTTGTTTGTTTGTTTGTTTGTTTGAAAGAAAATCTTTTTAAAAATCTCAATGATCTGCAGGAATTTAGGTTAGGAATAACTTGAAGTTAGAATCTCTATGGATTACCATCCTCAGATAACATGTTATTTGTTAGGTGATGAAAATTGTAGTCCCAAACATGAGGTGGGTGCTGGGGAGGAAGCTGGTCTACAATATCATGGTTCAATTAAATATGCTCTATAATGGGGTGGTAACCTCTGGCCTGGGGGTAAAGTTAGGCTTCCCAGAACATTTTGTCCTTTTTTCATAGATGGCTATGTCTGTGATAGATTCCTGTTCTAAAAGAGTAAAATGACACTCTTAAGGCCTTCTTGATGGTAGTAAGTATTTTAAGCTGAAATTTGGGGCCCAATCCTTTTGTCTTTGACCTCTTGTGGACAATAGGCTGAACATAAGCCAACAATGTGATGTAACCACCAAAAGGGCAAATGCTATTTTGGGATGCATTAACAGAAGTAATACTTCCAAATCATGAAAAGTAGCAATTCCTCTATACTCCTCACTAGTCAGACCTCATCTGGAATACTGTGTGTAGTTCTAGGCACAAGATTTAAGAAAGATGCAGAAAAATTTAAAAAGGTCCAGAGGAGGGCAACCAAAATGATCCAAGGTTTGGAAACAATGCCCTATGAGGAGAGACTGAGAGAACTGGGCATGCTCAGTCATGAGAAGAGAAGACTGGGGAGGGGGGGACATGATATCCCTCTATAAGTACCTCAAAGGCTGTTACAAAGAGGGAGGTCAAGATCTCTTCTTGCTGATGCCAGAGTATAGGACATGGAATAATCAGTTCAAGTTGCGACAACCCAGGTTCAGGCTGGACATCAAGAAAAGCTTCCTGACTGTCAGAGCAATACGACAGTGGAACCAGCTGCCTAGAGAGATGGTGGGCTCTCTCACACTAGAGACATTCAAAAAGAAACTGGACAGCCATCTGAATGGGAAGGTGTAAGTTGGTGTCCTGCAACAGCAGGGAATTCAATCCGATGATCTTCATGGCCCCTTCCAACTCTACTAGTCTATGATTCTATTATTCTTTCCTTTGCCTTCAGATCCACCCACTCCTGAAATGTACTCCCTAGCATGAATTTCTCCAAAAATAAATTTGCCTCTGGGCTAAAAAGGCCCAGCCCTGCCTTATAAGAAATATACTAGGGCTTAAAGTAAGCTGGGATCCTTAGTTTTCTCAATATAGATTGCATACTTATTTCACTCTGGGCTTCTTTATAGGAATGGTTATGGTTGCACCAGTACATTTCTTTTGCTGGAAGGAAAGTATCACTTGCTTTGCTTGTAACAGTTTGTCTTCTTTCCTGGAGTACTCTGCCCATGCCTCCCATCGGGTTCCATTTCATAGTTTCAGAACCTCTGTAAAAAGCTCAGCAGATATAAATGTAGTAATACATTTACGTTTATAATTAAAAGTAAATCTCACCTTTCCTGCTGTTGCAAGGAACCCAAGGTGACATGGTCTTCTTCCTCTCAAGGTTATCCTCATTTTATCCTGTATTTTAGACTGAGAGTTTGTGATAAACCAAAAGTCACTCACTGAGCTTCATGATCCAGTGGAAACTAGAAACCAGAACTCCCAAGATCCAGTCCAGCTTTTGAACTACTAGATCACACTGGCTCAGTGTGGACACTAAAGAAACCTCTAGTCCCAGGCACACCTTGCCACTCTTTCACCCTTTTCTAGATAGACTTGCTTGGACATCCCATCCAAACACATGTCTTTAGGAGTGCATTTTTATCTTAATTTCTGAACAAATTCTGTTTCACTAATTTTAGTATACATCTCAACTGCATCAATATCAGAAGTTGAATCTAAGCCAGTTAAATATATCCAAGTTATTGATCTTGATAACAAATTTTATTTCCCAGGTGTTGCTTTTTTGTTGGCTGATGCTCAGGGCTTCTTCGCAGACAGAGAACTGTTCTTTGAAAGAATAAAGAAGTTTATAACAATTCATAGGAATGGATTTTTGCTTTTGTCAGCTGCACATCATGGACCTGAGGAATGGAATGTTACGTTCAAAGTTCAGCAAAGGTATGAAATAAATTATCAGTCATTTGTTCTATTAATAAAGGAAAGTGGGTATACCAATATGCAGTAAAGTACCTCGCCACCCAAGTTGTAAGTAAATGTTTTATGCACCTAGTGGAAGATACTCAAAGAAGAAAAGCACTGTAATGTCATCTTGTTATATTGCAGTTTTCAAGAAAATATTTATTCATTTTCTATACTGCCCAATAGCCAAAGTTTTCTAGGCAGTTCACAACAACATATAAAATACAATATAAAACACAGAGAGCAATTAAAAAATCATAAGACATTACCATACAAAATTTAAAACCAAATGTAAAATACATGTAAAAAAGCTACAATAGCTTATACAAATCATAAGGCTTGTATAAGCAGCTAACACATTATAATACAATTACAGTAGATTACTTAAATTTATTACTATACAATACTATTACTTTACTACACAATTTACTATACTTATTATACAATTTACTACTGTACAATATAATATATGTAATTATAATAAATTGCTTAAATGTCCTGTGGTAAAGAACAGTTTTAACCAAGTGCCTAAAAGATATTAATGTTGGCAACAGGCAGGCCTCTATGAAGATCTTATTTCTTCTCTTTCAGTCAGTGTGATATGTCCAAGTCATTTTGAGAGTGAGACAATTTTTGAAATGTAATCAGTTAATAGTTCCCAAGTACAATATAATTAAGTTAGCATTTAGTTTTTTTTAAAAAAATAGGTCTGGAGTCCTGTCCTGATAAAATTAGCTTAGAAGTCATTCCTGTCAGTTTCAAAGAGGCATGCTTCCAAGTGAGTACAAATTTTACTGCAGCACTCATTTCCTTGACCTGTGACCTAAACTTGAGAATTGTACTCCTAAGGTCTAAGCATTTATACTTTTAAGCCAACAAAAAGTGTAATATTGTAATTTGCAGCAAGAGTGGTTAGAATGTTGGACTGCAGATCTGGAAAGCCTAGGCCAGTGGTGGCGAACCTATTGCACACATGCCACAGCAGGCATGCAGAGCCCTCTCTGTCGGCACACAAACCAAGTCACCCCAGCATCGCCCCAGCAGCCGAGCATCAGATAACAGCGCACATAGGGGCCATGCGCCTGCTCGGAAAGGAGTAGCCAGGCGTCATATGCCACGACTCATTAGCTGCAACTTGCTAGAGGTTTCACATGGCCAGTCAGTGCGCTGCCAAGGATATATATATATTTGCTTGGACTGGCTGTGAGGTGTTTTTTCTAAACTAAAACTTCAGCTTTCAGGTTTTATTGCAGTGTTGGCACTTCACAATAAATTAGTGGGGTTTGGGTTGCAATTTGGACACTCGGTGTCTCAAAAGTTCGCCATCACTGCCCTAGTTGCTAGTCTCAGCTCAGCCATGGAGCTCATTGGGTGACTTTTGGCCAGTCTCAGACTTTCAGCCAAACCTACTTCACAGGGTTGCTGTTCTGAGGTTAAAATGGGGAGGAGGAGGATTATGTAAGCCTTCTTGAGTGCCTTATGTGCAAAAAGGATGCAATATAAATAAATAAAAGTAAAAGGGATCAGCCAGCATGGCATTTATATTCAAAGTTAAATGTGGTGAATTTGGCAATTGTCTTCCAAGATTATTTGAATGTATATTTGCTCTCAATATTGCAGAATATTATGGATTTGGTCTTCTGTTACTGTTAAGACACAGGAGAGTTTGCTCCCTGAAGGGTTGTATTGGCATTTCAATAAAAAAAGAACTGCCTTATTCCAGGTCATATTTTTTTTCCATCCAATGCACTATTCTGGTGGACCAAAGATAGCATTTATATGTGGGCAAAGAGTGCATGGGTGACCTTTTCCATCACCTGAACCTTCTTTGTAAAGATTCCACTTTCCTTTTGCAAACTGTGTGCTTTGTCACTCTGTGATTGTCTTTCTTATTTAGGTTGCTACTTGAATAAATAAAAAGTAAGCATTATTTATATAGCACTATCAATATTCATGTGCAGAACATAAGCAAAACAGAGTTTGCTGTTTCTATGGAGTTTATAATTAAATTTACTAGTGGAAAAAAGGACAAAGCAGGAACAAATGCACATGTAAAAATGGATGAATATGAATGCAAGCAGCTACATGTGTTTAGGCTTTATTTTGATTTAGGGAAGAGAGAGGTGGTGCCACACAGAAGGGAGTCCAGCACATAGTTTTATCAGAAATGCAGGCCTGAAGTAATGTAACAATGTTTGTGCTGGTGTGGTTTTTTGCACAAACAGGCAAGAGGGAGAGAGTATAACTTTATAGGTGTATGATAATTAGTTTTGAAAGCTTTGAGAAACATGGAGTCCTCCGGAGGTTTCTGGACTATAACTCTCATCAGTTCAATGGTTGATGGTTAGAGGTGAGGGGAGTCAAAATAGCAACAGATATTAAGTCTTTAAAGAAACAGCAGAGTCAGGGAGACCTGGACATTTGCCCAGGGAAGAGAGTGATCTTTCAAAAACCAACCTCTTTCCTGGGCAAATGTATATGTTCCTGTGGAAAAAGCCCTCATTAGCTCTGTCAAAACCTCATTTTAAAAAGAAGTCTGAGTTTTGACAGCTGGCTATCAAAACTTACGCTCCTGTTAATGGGGTGACTGGCAGCTTCATAGCACTTGAGTCTTCAGAAAGGGTGAAAAAAGATGCATGGCAGTTTCAGTCAAAGTAGACAAAACTAACTAGCAAAGTGGACCATTGGACTAATGCAGTTTTGTCTGACAATCCCAAAGCAAGTATCCATATCACCTTTGATACACATCAGGGTCCATTCTTGTATACTAGAGTGGGTAACTTGTGGTCCTCAAAATGTTTAGTTTTTTCAATTTCTATCAATTTTAGTCAGCATAGCCAATGGTGAGAACAGATGGGAGTTGCAGTCGAACATCTTCTGGAGGGCTACAAGATGCCCACCCATGAGTGATGAGAACTGTTATTCACCATCTGGTAAATTAGATGATGCAATCAAACAGTAAGGCAACTGCGTTCACATTAAATGTTTTCCAGCAATTCAGTAATGTCTGAATAGTTGAGATAAACATCAAAAACATATATGCACCTCAGTTTCAATTGTAGTGTTCATATATTAGCAGACCATCTGCCATGTATTTTCCATTTTGCATGAAAGGAACAGCTATTTTAATGGAATACTTGATTTCCAAAGAGCTGATGCTAGAACCAATTTAGGTGAAGGTCTTGGTAGATTGCCAGTTGCTGCAGAGTGGCAGAATATGCAAAAGCAAAATAAATGGCTGCCACTGAAGCATGCAAGAGTCTTCTTAATTTTTTTGTTTGTTAGTTTTTGTTTCTCGGTGACCTTTCCTAGCTCTTCTGTAACCACTTTTTAAAAATGAATTTTAGACAATGTCTAAATTGAGGCTTAATTCAGATAAGACGGAGGTCCTGTTGGTGGGCGGTTCAGCCTTCCAGATGCTGTTCTGGATGGGGTTGCACTCCCCCTGAAGGACAGGGTGTGCAGTCTGGTAGTGCTCCTCAGCCCAAAGCTGTCCCTGGAATCTCAGGTGGCAGTGGTGGCAAGGAGTGCTTTTTTGCAACTTTGGCTGATTTACCAACTGCACCCATACTTGGATGATCATTGCCTTGCAACCATGAACCACGCTCTGGTAACTTCCCCACTGGATTATTGTAATGTGTTCTACATGGGGCTGCCCTTGAAGACAATCCGGATATTTCAGTTGGTTCAGAATAGTGTGGCCTGGATATTAACAGGGACCAGCAGGTATTCACATATAACGCTGGTCCTCTATCACTTACACTGCCTGCCAGTTGAAGTCTGGGCCCAATTTAAGGTGCTGGTGATGACCTATAAACCCTAAATGGCTTGGGTCCTGGATACCTGGAGTGCCTTCTTCCCTATGTGCCCTTCCACCCCTTGAGATCTGAGGCAGAGGTCCTTCTTCAGGAGCCCTCCTTGAAAGAGAGTTGGAGGGTGATTACCCAGAGGGCCTTCTCTGCGGTGGCGTCCCAATTGTGGAATACGTTCCCCATAGAGGTTCACCTGGGGCCAATGCTTTTTTCTTTTTGGTGCCAGGTGAAAACTTTTTATTCTGTTTTTTTAAGGTTTAATTGGTTTTAATTGTGATGTTATTGTGAATTGCTGGATGCTATGCCATTTTTATCTGTGCTTGTTGTAAACTGTCCCAAGACATTAGTGGGATGGTCTATAAAAGCTTTTAATTAATTAATTAGTAAAGTTCCTGTAGTGTCCCTTCCTTCATACTTAGCTTTACCACACCCTCTTGACTACCTTGCAAGCTCTTAGAAGGGAAGACAAAGTACTTAGACAAAGGGGGCCCAGTTCACATTCCTCTTCCTGAAAACAAAATATACAACTTTGTGTTGTGCTTTTTAGGGGCCAATGCAGCAAAGTGCCATTCTCTGCTGCCCTAGAGCAAAGGTGCATATAATTGGATTCCTAGAGGAAACACAGGCAGATTGTTCAGTGCAGTAGATTCATGTTTCTTGTTCATCAGTGGCTCCAAGTCCTGATGGCTATATGAAATCTCAGGAACAGCAGCAGTATGCCACTGGATTACCAGATGCTTGTGAGTTTCCTTGATTCATCCATTTGGCCACTGTGGGAAACAGTATTCCAGACCATGGGCCAGTTCAGCAGGCCTCTGTTTCCATTCCTATGCACTAAGTCTCAACTGTCAAAGTGTTTAAAGTGGCTAAACATGTCCTCAAACTAGCTAAACCCCCAACCCTATATTTTTCAGGTACAGTCTGATAAAATTACCAGGTGTATAGTTGCAGTAGTACCTGCATTATAGCTGTCATTTAGAGGGCAATCAGGGACTGAGAATGAAAACTAATAGCCACATTTACTACACACACACACGCGCGCACACTTTACATTATAAATTAACTTAATTATATCTCTGGGCTATTAGGGTGGTATATAAATACAAATAACAAATAAATAAATTGATAGGTATCTAGGGAAGGCAGGGTTGAGAAGGGAACAATACTATGGAAAGGTTTGGGACTCTTCAGCTTTCCTTCTTCCCATATGGCTGTGTTTTCAGTTTATCCTTACTGCTTACCTACTTTCCACTATCCCAAACCTTGCAACTGCCAGAATTTGTGTAATCCCAAAATGCAGCAATCAGATCAAAACACTATTTAGTAAATGCCTCATATACAAATTGCTCTAAAATGCTATTACATAACAACATGCTACTATTAAGGTTCATGTTATTAAAATGTAAATACTTTAACTTGGCCCAATTGATGTTTATGAGCATTTTCTGCTTCAGGTTCTTAGGCAGTAATTTACGAATAATCCCTGTCCACAATACTGCAGAAGCCATTAAACTCATGCTGACTATAGCAAAAGTAAGTAGTCACATTCATTGTCAAACAATACTACAGAACAGCTCCATGACTGTGTATGCATGTACGTGCATAAATGCACATATTGAAAGTCTTAGTATTAGAAGTAGAATTTCCACAAGTATTATTTAGAACTGCATCCTTTTAAAAAGAATTTATTACTGTTTCTCTGTTAATAGTTTCCTTGCTGTGAGAACAAATAGAATAGAGGCTAAAGATGTGCTATGCTCTGCTCCTAAAAAATAGCTGCTTGTTTTAAAACAAGTATGGTATTAAATTTGGTGCCTACTTTAACTATCAGTCACTTGTGAATAAGCTATTTAGGATCCCAGGCTGCATGGATCATAAATAGTTGTGTGGAGTATTGCTGAGAACTGCATGATTGCTCTCTATATAAACATGCATAGAATGATTGACAGAATTAAGAGAATGCTTAACAGAAAGACAACTTACCTGTCACCCTCCCTCCCTCCCTCTCTCTCTCTCATATGCACGCGCACATGTGTGCATGTATGTGTCTGTCTGTAGACCACTTCAAAACCGTATCTGGACAACATTCGTTATAGAATGCTAATGGCAAAGACACAGATTGTAGAACAAAGCTCTGTTTGGAAAATGCTTCAAAGCCAACTTGATTTTAGCTTAATAAACATCACTTAAGGTTTTATTCAAAATGTTGACCATATTTATTTGCAAAATACAATCTCAATTCTGTGCTATAAAAAGCTACACCCACAAAGAAATAAGTATGTCAGTTTGGAAAACATCATTCTGTATCAGATACAGTCAGCATGAACATCTGTGTATAATTTGTTAAAGTTTAATTTCCTGTATAACTGTCAAATCCCTATTATTGTTCAGTTAGATTTCTTTTTCTTTCAAGTATTTAAAATGTAAAATATAAATACTGTTTTATTTAAGCCTGAGAAGAAATGGGTATCTCAATATTCTTAAACTGCATTTTGAGTGAACAAACTTTATTCAAGAGCAATGAAGAGTAACCTTTGGGAGGACTTTAAAATGTGCATGATTACTTTTATATAATTTGAGCTCAAGTTGTTCTTCATTCAGTTCTGCTGCTACTTTTCTAAAAAAAAAATTTTACTTATTTTCTCCATGAATGGAAACACATGTTGATATTTTTTGATTGAAGTATTCTTTCAAATCAGTGAACAAAGTATACCTGCTATTATCTGACTGCATTAGGGATGCTCTGGGTAAAACTTGTATCCAGGAATGATGAATGTACAAGGAGGAATTTGCTAACGTGTGAAATCACCATCAGATTTCTAGTGTAACATTTGTATTTTGAAAATATGCCAAATGACCTAACACTTCTTTGAACTTCTGGAGGTGTAAAAATATTATTGAGCCTTGTTCCCTAGCAGCCAGTATTACAACTTTGTCTATGTTTAAAGCTTGGTACTTTATATATTCAAGTCATAATGCAGGAAGTATAAATACAATGTTTGATGTGAAACAGGAATATGGAAAATAAAATTCTTCACTTGATCCCAGTAGTTTCTCCAGTTACAGGTTGTGTTTTGGTTTCAATGAGTTCTTCTACTCTGGCCAGAACGCTCTCTATTAAATCAAATGTGAAAAGAGCTGAACGAAGAACCTGAAATATTAGGACAAAATGAATGTTAATTATACATAAAACTATTACCACTTCTCTCTCCCCAAAGTAATTCTAAATATGCTATTTAAGTAAAAGAAACCCAAAGCCTTCATACATTTGTACTTCATAAATTGAACAACCTTGTCTTCAAACAAAATCTACTCACTTTAAGCTCCATTTCAGTTGTCATGGCAGGCATCTTTTCCCCAGGTACCTTTACAGAGCAAGACTTAGAACTGTAGGATTCTATTACAGAAAAGAATAAAATCTGGTTAATCTATCATTTTCTGTAATTAATTGATTCCTGCTGTCATGAAACATGGGATGCTGGTCCATGGCCTTGGGCCACCACTGGGAGCGTCTATGTCTTGTGTGTTTTAAATAAAGCCTAGGCGAACCTGTCATCCACAGGGTCTTAGGACCCACATAGGTCCAGAAACTCCCAATTGAATGACGATAACGGAAGCATCCAGAGCATTGCTTTGCAACAATTTAGACTTCTTTTAATACAGTTTTATTGCAAAGGTGTACACAAAACCACAGGTTTGCATATATAATATCATGGTTAATCAGCATGATGGGTTCCATTAAGTGCTAAGCATCCAAAATAAGTGCAACAGATGATTGGGTTCTCTGTAGCTGCATTGCTCCCAGGTGCTCCACCACCTCCTTTCTCCTGGCAGTATACCAGGGAACACTGCAGGAAGGAATGATGGTCAATTAAGTGACTCATAGTTGAGTTTGATTTGCTCCAGCTGTCAAAGAGTCTCCAATGTGCAAACAGGCTCAAGCCCTGAAGCACAATGGGGAAGATGGGGTGCTGATCGGGGACTTCTGGAGTAAGAGGCAAGGGTGTCTAATCCACTTAGTAATCTGTTGTGGGAGGCTGCCCCAGCTCCTGCCTAGGAGCTGGCTGTTCAGGCAGGAGCTGATAGCTGGTGATTTGCTTGATGGGGCTCCCTGGGAATAGAGCAATGCCACAGAGCCAATCCCAAATTCAGCTCTTTTTCTTGGCTCCTGCATGAGCATCTTAGTCTCTTAGGGCCTGGGAGAGGAGCCATGTAATCTATGGCCTTGCCCTATTCTCAGGGCAGCTTCACCAAGCCTATTCCTCCCTCCCTCCTGAGCATAAAACATGAAGGCAGAAGCTGCAGAGAACAGGGCCAGCATCATGGACCCAGTATCTCCTCCCTATGCCACTTGTGCCTAAGCCAATTACTATCAGGCAAAAGCAGTGGGGGGAGGGTCAGCCTTACTCAACTGTAGAGCCAATACCCACCTTACTAATTTGCCAGTTCCTGCATGTAAGTAAACCACTTGGGCACCAGTGGGGGGGGGGGGGTTGCAATCAGTTGGGCAACACTGCCCCTTTTGAGGCAATCAGACTCAGATAATTGGACTAGCTCTTGCCAGAGAGAGGATCTAAGGGAAAGAAGGTGGGAGGAGCTATGATGCTTCTGACAGCTAGGCCAAAATGGGACATCTTTGAGTAATGCTTTCTGGCTAGTTCCCTAGCAAGAGCTAGCCAACAAACTACAACAAACATATATAATAGGGACAAACCCCTGAACAGACCACTGCATCTCACCATGGGTGACAGCCATGGTAATTCACAATGGCTAGTCCCACCACTGGGCTTAGACAACACATCAAGCAACTGTGTTCTTTTTAGCTTCTGATTGTTGTACAAACTGTTTGGTGACTGTGGGAGTTGGAGAAATCTGCAACAGATCAGCTCTTTCTGAGTTCTGCAGACCTGAGGACCATTTTACTTTGCAAGGGGGTGTGGAATGAAGTCTCTGCAGCAGGTCTCTTTACATGAAGTCTGTATATGGTACCCAAAAAACCTCCTCTTCCAAGAAAATGCATTAAACATCCTTTGAACTTCATCATAAGGTTTTTCACTTGAACTTTCTGGTACATATGGCAGTCATTATCTGTGTATCAGAATGAATGAAGCTGGATGCTGGACTGCTAGGTTAGACTAGAAAAATATGCCCAAGTTTTCTCACACATACCAATTTATAAACAACATTTAATTAACTCACAAAACTAGGTGAAATAAATTACTTTGAACTTGTTAAATACCAGAAGCTACAGATTTCTGATCTTTGACTATGAAGGAGTTACTTTTCTACGTAGAAAGGCCACAATTCCCTTGTGCTTTGCAATCAGAAGCTCTCAGTTTAATTCCTACACTTCATTTAACGATCTTCAGGTAAGAACTCTATGTGGTATCAGAGAGCTATTGATAGAGTAGACAATATTGTGGTAGATGGACAAACAGTTTTGGATGCGCACCCCTTGGTCTAAAATGCAGCTCCCATTAACTCACACCCAAGTTCCTAAAAACAAACAAACATAAACACCCTATGAAAATAACAAAGTCCACTAACCTCTGTTTTCTTTTTTATTCTTTATTTCTGCTTCATAATGTGCTCTTGACATATTAAGTCCAACATGTAAGGGCTTCAAGAAAGTTCGCTCAATCTTATAAAGTTCTGTCCACACACAGGTCTCATTAAAAAAAAAAAAAAGAGCAGTTTGTATTTTAGCAGAGAGATCACTCAAAATGAAAGCATTTTCTTCAGCTACATAAACTGCTGGTTAAGGAAGGAAGAGAATTTACACATGTATCCTATAATGCTGACCTATACTTTAATCTGTTCCATCTTTGTGGCCTTCCCAGCCCCTGTAATTCAACATTTCCCTCACTCATAAACTAGATCGCAACTTATCTCCTCTGGAGTGTCCTAAGGAACAGGTTCATACAACTTACGGTCCATGAAGCTGAGCACAGTTGACTAATCCTTGTCTGTGCTATGACAAATACTTGATAGCCACTTTAGTTTCTATAGTCCATATGAAAAACAAAAAGGCTGATGCTAAGCCTGCAGCAAAACCTATCAAGTCCTTGTCAGGTCACAGAATAATAGCCCGTCAAACCAAGCAGAGCCTACAAATTGTGCAGGTCAGTCATAGAAACTATGTGAGACTCTCATCTTTGGGTCAGCTTTTGTTGTTGGGCTTACTTGTAATTTTCTGCATTTTAATACTTCATTTATGCTGAAGACTGTCAAATGGAAATACTGCTCTAAAACAGATTTTCTTCTTCATGTAATTCAGAAAATGAGCTTACAGTGCATTAGGCATATAAGAACATTCCCTTCCCATTTCTTTTTCACCACACTCACACAATATAGGACACTGTGACATAGAGCAGTTTCTTCTACCAAGTCACATCCATGTTGGGATGTTATCTAAGAGCAGAGCAGTTGAGGAGTACTGAGCAAAGGTTTTCATGTGTGTGTTTTAAAGTTAAAAGCAAAACACACTATCTAGTGACATAATATTTAGTGTACCCATTCCAAACGTAGCATTAAGGGATGGAATCTATAATGCAGCACAATATACAGCAGTCCAACTCCGTAGCAAATATGGGATACTGAGCTGCAAAACCAACTAGCTCTGGCTATAGCATATCCTGATTTCAGAGACAATAGGAGAACATTTCTGCCTGCAAATTATTTGGTGAATCTATTCCTAAAATTAGGAAGGCATTTGCACTAGCCAGAGTTGATGTTCTACCACCTGCACTCATGGAAGCAAGATTCAGGGGGGTTCCCTATCATGAACATTTATGCTCCTGTGAAGTGGGAGGAGTGGAGAGAGTTGGACATGTCTTATTCCATTGCTCCTTCTATTGTGAAATTTGATTTACTTTTTTCACTCCAGTATTACAGAAAAAAACTGCCTAATCTGACATTTTACATATATCTTTTATTGGATTGGTACCCCCAGATCACAGCAAAAGTGGCTAGTTTTTGTGCAGCTGCTGTGCAGCTGTCTTGTTGGAAGGTGATGTTAAAATATTTTAGAATTTTAATTTTCAGCGGGTTTGTATATTTCTTGTTGATATTTTACATATTGTTTTATCATATTTTATATTGCTGCTCTTTATACTGGTCTGTCATTGAAACAAATTACACATGTACATACTGGCAAGCTTTCGGGAAGCTGCCATAGACCCATATAAATTCATCCTAGGGTATCACAGAATTGCATTTAAACTTTAAATTTAATCTACTGATGTTTTTGTATTTTAAATATTTAGGTATTTTAATAACTTACTGGTGTCAAGTTTTAATGCATTTTTGTACCCATTTGTTTTAATATTCTTACACTGTATTTTACTGGCCTATGACCAAAGAAAAGTCATTCATTCATTCATTCAGCAGTCCAAAAAGACCTTTCTTTTGGTTTGTCTTGTATTCACTTGCCATTTCCTGATTAGCTAGATAATTGTCCCCAAGTTGATATGGAAGTTACTGGTGCTTTTGGGATAAGTGGCCTTCCCAGGATTGAAATAGTCAGAAAATAAGAGTTGTAACAGCTTTTCAACATTTAATGAATTTCAGCTAGAACAGTGCATGCTCATAGCATATTAGGAAATACAAAGCTGATGCTAAGCCTGCTGCAAAATTTAAATATAAATTGCTCCCTTGACTATCTCAAATCATTTCTCCATCAAAATGCAGCAGCTGGATAGGGATATGACCGTGCAAAAGCCACCATATCAGTCATACGGTACATCCATTGAATGTTAAGCTACCCAGACTATGAATACTAGATATTACAGGAAGCAAAAAGTAGTAGAAAATTGTCAAAGAAAATTGGTGAGTGTGTTGCGGGGGGGTGGAATGAGAATTGGGCTTGCTAATGCAGTTGTCTTTTGTGCCACTGCCAAGCTCAAATGTCAACTAAAAATATTCACTTTAGGAATAAATCACTGAAATCCAAACAATTTTCCCACTGATAAAGTTTAGCTTCAGATAAAAACTGAAGATGAAAAGCAATGTATGAAAACCTCTGTGCCTAGATTATCAGAAACTAGTAAAACACATTTCCATTGTACAGCTCTACTTCTGTTTTGCTCTTTTAAAATGTCCCAGTCTACTCCTTGCTGAGTCAGAGTTCAAAGATCAGTATTTATTCACTATTCCTCCCCTGATGGCTCTCTGTTCCACAGATTTAGGAAGTTTCCAGTAGTATTAATATTGTATGGGCATACTTTTGCTTTATCTTCTTACACTACTCAAATCCTAAAATATATTAGCCATTCAACTGAATAATGCAAATTTACTATTTAAAATTACAATGTACAGGTAAGATGACATTTTTGAATTCTAGTATCAAACATGAGAAAAATGTAAGCGATTCCAAAATATTAAAAATGGAACACAGCGTCCCTGCTTTTGAAGGAGCCTGATTAGCTTAACTAACGCTATTTGCTTTTGTAAAAAGGTGCTTGCATAGGAGCTTGATTAGCTTAACAAACTCCATTTGCTTTTTGTAAAACTGCTTGCCTCAGAGAGGAAAAGAAAGGCAAAAGAATGTTGATAAAGTAAGACAACGAGGTAGTGAGTGAAGAAGAACCCCCTGCACAAGGTCTGGCACGCAGTGATCATGCTCCCCGTGTGAGGGGATTGGATGTAGATAAGCACCTGCACAAGGCCAGGCATGCAGTGGACATGCAGACCCCGCAAGGGGATCGGGTGAAGGGTCAGGCAGACCCTGGGAGGGGATTGGGTGAGGAAACAATGGGGTGAGATTGAGTGAAAGAAGGTAAAAAGTTATAAGAAGGGTCAGTTGGAGGAATGTGTGTGTGTCGCTCCCTGACACCCGGTTGCTTTGCTCAGCTGAATAAAGAAACTGAACGAATCTCTGCCTGACTGAACCTCACTGACACTTGGCTTGGTGGGTCTGTAAGTCGCCTGGCTAGCAGGGACCTTAACACTTTCATTAACTAAAACTTCATATGCTTTGAATATAGCCCCCCCTGCCCCCCCCCCACACATGCACACTCAGAAATGCCAAAGCCCTCCTTGTGGATGACTCCTAGTCTGAATGGGATCATTTCTACCTTTTATTTAATTCAGGAAATAATACAAAGGCCAATTAGGCCAGGAAGGGCTTTGATTGTAGGGAGGCCTCTATACCCCACCATACACTAGAAGCCACCTGACAGTTGATGCAACAGCTCCTGGAATCCTCTAATCTTGCTACCCTTGCCACTTCCTTCAGCCATCCATATGATGGAAGGTTCATAGGAGGCAATCCTCCAATGGAACTGAGGCTGGGGATCCCTTTGTGGAGGTGAAAGACTAGGGCAGGTGGTGGAAAGGTAACTCCTTTCCCTCAACAGGTGACATGCTCATTGGTGGCTCATGTAATTCCTTAGCCAGAGAAACAGGGGTGGCTTGTTTAAGTAGGAAATTGGCTGTAGTCTGATTAAGCTCTCCATCTAGATCGGACAGGGTTTCCTACAGAGCCTTACATGAACCAGTAATCTGCTATGAATCAGTGATCTGCTGAGTCCTAAGTGTCTATCATATTCCTGTTGGCTACAATGGATCTCTGGGGGGAGGGGGCAGACTAGTCCAGCTACAGGAACAGCAGAGCTTACATCGCAGCCATGCCCACCCATAGCTTGGCTGGCAACCATGCCTGGACAAAATTAGTTCACTAGTAACCGTGGGTGACTCCTAAAAGTGCTCTGATAGTTTTGGCAGGACTTTGGGCTGGCAGCACAGCCTCTGTCCTTGCCCATTGTGAAGGAACAGAGAAAAAGAAGGAGAGATTAAAAAAACACCTTTTTTTAAAAGTGTGAAGGAAGTAGTCTCAAGAAGTAGTCTCTTACTTCAGAGTAAACATGCTTAGGATAAGGCTGCACAATTGTGCACTCAAACTGTAGATTTTACTTTCAGGTTAGTATTCACTCTTAGTAACACACATGATTAGAACTGGGATGCAAGCTAGCTCACAGGATCAGCATATGTTAACTGTCTACTTGTATCAAGCAAGGGATTAAATAAAATAGGTCAGGGTGCAAGATCTGCATAATGAGACATAAGACTACAAGGCAGAAATGTTAAACAAACACAAAAGCAGAGGTAATACTCTGTCTGCTCTGAGAGATGCATAAATTATCTGCCAGATCAGAGCAGAACTTTTCCAAACTGGGTTCCCTTCAGGATGCTGAGAGCTATTTGCCCTCCAGCAGTATAGCATTTAGTTCCAGATGATAGTTTGGTAAAGCATGTCTACCTGCAGCAATTATAATGTTGTGATCTGGCTCCATTGCTCTCCTTTTTCCCCTTCATTGATTTCAAGAGCTTTGCTAGCAATGCTAAATTTAGCCCACTCACTGCCTTGACACTACAAGCCAAGATTTCAAATCTTATATAAGAGATATGCTAAGCTCTGCTACAAAGACTTAGAATATGAGATAACACAGAGCACTCTCAAATAACGTTGCTTGTGTGTGGATGGAGCCTTTAAGATGCTTTAGAGATCTCTGCTGCTGTAGAAATTGCTTTGCTTGAGTAGGTATATCCTACTGACAAGCTGGTATTCAGGTCAAATACCCTGTAAATCTGTTCATCTGCTTACAGAATGGAGCTATAGGAAAAGGTTGGAAAATAAAGCATCTTTATTCTTGTCTAAGACTAAAAATAAATGATTCAAGGCAAAGTTGCCAAAATACTCACAAAGATACACTGACTTTGCTATAATGCTGAAGAAAATGCAAATTTGTCACAATGAAGCCAGACTAATTTATTTGTAAGTATTGTTACATGTCAGGATTCAATCACTGCAAAATTGCCTGGAATTGTACTTTATTTATTTGATTTCTAGCCCACCCCATTAGCCACATGGCTCCCCCATTATGATCTGGGTTACTAGTACAGCTAGATGAAAAGAGCAAAAAGCACAATCACATTCACAAATAATTCAGCAGTGGATTTCACAAGTACCACTTTTCATGAATCTGCAGCAATACTAATTTAGTGACCTGATTAACCTGACACACTAAGCTAACCATGTGTTGCTTAACCCACAATGAGCTGCAGGACAGGCAGACATTATTATGAACATGCAACCCCCAATGGGGTTGCAGCATGTCATCGAAACCTTGCCACCCGTGCATATCCCTCCTACAAACCACTTTTTAATCCTCAAATAACTGAGGGTGGCTGGGTTTGGATGACATATCACAACTTCATTTGTGGTTACATATTCCTAAATAGTGCCCAGAGTGTTGGGTAAACTAGCCCCTTTTCTGTCTCACACATTTTTCATACTGTTAGAGGGAAAAAAAAGTAATAATCACTTACTCGATTATCATCTTCATTATCTTTAATTATTAAATATCTCAGCAGATTTAGTGATGCCATAATCCTGTAAATTAGAGACATTAAAAAGGTACTTGGGGTTGAATAGGACAATGTTTTTCATGGATAGAAGGCTGCCACTGAAGGAATGAGTGTGAAACAGGTATGCAGGAACACCAATTGCCACGGTATTGCAGAAATACTAACCAGCTAAGATTGGATTACTATTCCTGCCCTCCTAACAACCAAAAGCAGTTAGCCAGTCATGTCTATATTGGTTCATGGCTGCTAATTTACAGTAAGCACCAATAACAACAGGCATGAACAGCAGCTAGGATTTGGCCAACCAACAAAGTAGACCGGCAATTTCAATTAAAACAGGTTGTATTCACCCATTCAAGTTGATTCATACATTTTCATCACTATAGCTATCTGTTGGGTTATCATTGCTACTACATTAGATAGCCAGCCCCATCACCCTTTCCCACTGTAGGCATTACTCTTTAGTATCTGCATTTTATGGGATGCACATTGTTCAGGCACGTACGTTAACCCAATGTGCAGAACCCATTATTTTAAGTGGAAATATGACAAAGGAAAACTTTACTGCATGTATATCTGCCTTTTGATTTTTTTTCACATTATATGAAAACATGAACATTTCAGACTACTGGTTAAAAGGAAGTGGTAGGCCCATTTTTGCTATCAATCACCAATTATTTTTCACCCTTATTTCTTCCCTCCCTTTCACATGGTCCACAAGAATTTCCTCAGAAGTTCCTACAAGTAACTCTAGCTTATTCTTATCCTCAACTTATTGCCTTCCCTCTTACTTTCCAAAAAAAATCTAATAGCTCCTCCCACACAGGTGAGAGATACCACACAGGTTCAAAAATAATACTTCAAATAAGGTGAGCCAGATAGCTTGAAGGTATGCAAACTTAAGTACCGCACTCTGACCAAAGCGTCACAAATATTAACGTGGCTTAAATACAGGGTGAGGCAATTAAAAGTTACAAAATAAAAATTGAATAAAAACAAAATAAGCTAAAATTAAATTATTTTTTATAAAATTAGAAAAAAAACTTGTATAAAAGAAATCAGAGACCCTTATGAATAAAACGTGATGGAAATTTGCTCAAATAACGGAAGGAAAAAGAAAAGGGACGCTTTTGAAATTGTAACTTTTAATTGCCTCACCCTGTACAAACCTCCATTTGCTACTAATTACTCGAGTCCTCAAGCAAGCACAAAAAGCTCCAAGGAAAAGGCCAGAGTCCTGGCTCCAAAAAAGCAAAAAAAAAAGTCTGCTGATCCTTCTCAAACTGCAGCACAAGTGTCACAGGCTCCTGGAAAGCTTTCTCAACAAAGAAAGATCCCTAGAGATTCCTCATCAACATAGATGTTGAGTTCCTGTGCCTGGCTTACAACTTCTATGTTCTATTCTTTGGCTCATTCTAGAAAGGAAAAAAGGGGCTAAAATCTGAACTCAATTTTAACACTGTTAAACAAATGACCTGAATACAGGAATTCAATAGCAAAGTAAAATACTTGAACAGATTATTTCCAGACAAGTAGATTATGGCTTTTCCTGCAATTCGAGTGTTTCTGACCACCTGTTTTTATAGAATTTTTTGCAGGAAGCTCCAATGAAGTACAGTGGCACCTCGGTTCACAAACGCCTTAGTTCACGACCAAATTGGGTTGCGAACAGAAAATTTGGCAAAATTTTGCCTCAGGTCACGAACTCTACATTGGGTGACGATTGCAGTCATGCTGGGGAGGGCGAGATGGCCGCAGTCGCGCTCGTGCAGGGAAGACAGGTGCAATCGCGATCATGTTTGGAGGGGGGAGATGGCCGCAATTGTGCTGGGGAGGAGATGGCCATGATCTTTGTTGCTCTTTGTCACTTTTTTCAAATTGTTGTGATTAAAAAAAAAATGGTTACAGAACGGATTAACCTTATTTACATTGAATCATGGGGAAATTTGACTTGGGTCACGACCAATTTGGGTCATGACCAGAGTCTTGGAACGGATTAAATTTGTGAGCCAAGGTACCACTTTATCTAAAATCTTAGTTGTCAGCATGGCTGTAAAAAATTCTGGAAAGAATGCCCAGGGATGGGGTAAGTGACCACGTCAAAAGATTCCTACAGCAGCTATTAATCACTTCTCACCTGTCTGAATTTTGGAGGAGATCTGTTTCAGCACCTTCAGGAAGTGACAGTGCCATGTCAAGCAGCGAGACCAATGAGAATCCAGTAAAAAACTTGCTGCCTTCTGGCCTCTGAAAAGTAGCATATGGTACAGCTGATATATTTAGCTGATATGTTTGTCACAAGAGTGCAGCCAGGTATGAGCTAGCAGACTGCCCCCCCCCCCAAATTTTCAGCACCTGTTATTTTAAAAAAATCAAGAATTTAAAACAGCTTACAGTTTTTAAAACTGTGCAAACCAGATCACTTCTCTCACCAACTGTCTGGCAGATCCAGCAGACCTTTTCAGCTGGTGAGGGACCTGGGGTCTTTGTGCAGTCTGTAGCAATTGGCATTACACCTGAGAGAAGACCAGCAATGGCAGCCTTCTATTTTTGGTTATTACTCTTAGCAAAGACTGTATTCCAATTGTGTCATTTTGATCTTTGCTTTCTTCCAAATGACATTTTAGTATATAAAAATAGGCTTGATGTTGTTTTTACAAGAATCCTTGCAAGTGTGGAATAAACAAAACTAAAGACCAGCAACAGAAAAAGTTATATACAGATCATACAGCTATTTTTTCAGGATTTTAAAAAAAGCATTTATTCAAATTCTCTTAGTTCAAGCCACACAAAGATATTCCAGGTGGGAATATTTCTACAAGTGAAGGGATACCTGAACCTTGCAATATGTACAACTGCTGATAGCTTTATTACTTGAAAAAGACACCTGCTGCAGCCACTTCCATCTTTGTGAAGAACTGTTTTCTGTGATATTCTGCAGATTTTTTATTGTGATAACTACAACTTGCTTATTGAAGATAAAAGCAATAGCTTCTGAAGGTGTACACAAGTTCCAAGGCACGTATACAGACGGCTATCCTGGCAACTATCCAAACTTCATGTGTTGTTTGGTATTTGTTTTTTATTCATTTCCTTCCTGCTGTGCTCACCACCTCATTCCCACCTATATCCAGAACACTAACACAGACTTCTCTGGGTCCCCACCCAGTTGTACAGAAATATACCCTTTTCTGTTCTACTTTCAATAGTCTTCCTTACCCGCAAGGCTAAATCAATTTGATTTTTAATATTTTGAATGATGTACCCTTCCACACCGGAATGTTTACTTGTCTTCAACAAACACCTGCAACAGAAGACAGAGGAGGAAAGATTATGCCCTATACCAACCTTCAACAACCCGCAGCCCTCCAGAAGAGCTGTTTCCTAGGGTTCTATAAAAGCCTCGTAGGAGTTCCGCAAAAAAATCTCAAAAATCAAATTTAAAACGGATTTTAAAATGAAACCACATGAGGCCAACTATTCCATTGTCAGTTCGCATCCAAGCAGCAAACAGGGAAATGCATCACGTCATTTGGTTTCTAGGACTCTATTGAAAAGTGTTGGGAATAATCAAAAGAATTCATTTGGCATGTTACCATATAATCGCTTTATTCATTCCTTATATTTAAAATGTTTTTCTTTATTTCCAAACCTACTTCATTATGTAAGGCAGTCAGGCAATAGGAACAGATGAAAGAAGGAAGAATGTTGTGGGTTCACAATGCTTAGTAAAAATCAGGGATCAAGTTATGGTTCCGTCGGGAGGAAAAAGTCTTCAGAAAGGTTCCATGAACAAAAAAGTTTGGGAACTGCTGCTCCAGATGTTCTGACTAGAACTTCCATCAGCCAGCCAATTATCAGGGATAATGGGAGTTGTAATTCAAAACTTCTAGAGGGCCCTAGATTGGATAGGTCTGTCTTATACATTATTTTCAGTTTGAAGCAAATTTCTAGGGCATGCAAGACAACTATAGGATTAAAGTTGTCTGAATTAATGTTCAGCTGTAGTACCCTTCAAATGGGATATTTGATTTTTGGTTATTCTACAACACTGAGACACACCTGAACAACGTGTATTTTCCTTCTTCATCAAATTTGTCTATATAAAGCTGTAAAATCTTTAAACTCTTCTTTCTCTACAGAAAAATACAAGGGAGAGGGAATGAATCAGATAAACTGTCCTTAAGAAATGACACTTCAAGGTCACATGAAACTTCATTACGTACCAGAGGTTCAAAGGGGCACAGTGTAATGACCTTTACCAAATCCTGTAATAATAATAATAAAAATAAAAGTTATTTAGGTCAGACAATGCCCTTTGCAAGCAGAAGTAGAGTAAGATGCTATTGAAATAATTAGCTTCAATTCAAAAAATAAAAGGAAGCAGAGTAGTAAAGCTATTAACTCCATCTTTAAGCCACACTGTTTCACACATACGTATCAGAAAAGGCAGCAAGCAATCTGCGATAGAAGCAGGGAAATGTGGATTAAGGAGAGCGTGACAGACACAGTGACAAATACATGGTCTGCCCAAGTCAGTAATATCATACAAGTATTTAGATTAAAAAACCTAGGAACCAGAATATTGGTACTTAACTGAGAAGATTTGTTTTGGTGGGAGGAAGAAATCCCACAATGGTTTACCTCCTTTATCACTTAGGAAGGGCTAGGGCCACATCAATAAACTTTTGAATATTCTACTGGGGCTAGGTTCTTCTTTGCCAGTTCTGTGCATAGCTATAGCTCAGATGAAAACAGTACATGTCAACCTCCTGAAGGGAATAAAGGTTAGCTGCACAGAACAGATAATACAGTAGCACAGTTATTGAGATCCCATAAGAAGAGGTCTGAGCTGCGGATACAGAGACAGATCACGACAGCAACAAGGTATAAGGCTTGGTGAAAAGCATAGGCTGTGGTTGGGATGCCTTCTGCATACCCAGGAACCTTCTGGATAAGGTTACTCATTCTCCAGATTGTTGTGAGGAAGGCACCCATAACGAGCTAATACCCAATTGGGAAATCAATCTAATTTTGAGTGTACAAATCCATGATATTAATGCCTGTTGGAGAACTCTTCTGTGAAATGAAGCATCTGCTGAGGCAAATATATTGATGTTATAAAGTCTGGCAAAAGAATTTGAATTTGCTCAGGTAACAGCCAGATAAAATTTCAAGGTTGTAATTAGTGCTAAAGTGGCTGTTGACCTAGTTAATTGGGCTGTAACTCTTAAAAGGCTTGAGAAGGCACAAAAATTGATGTGATAAGAAAATGCATGCTTTTAGCTCTCAAGCCAAGATTATCTAGGTACTTCTTACCCACAGCTGAAGGATGTAAAGAACTAAACACTGAATCTGTTTGGCTGCAAGACTGTGCATTTTAAATAGATTTTGACTGCTGTTCAGTTTGAGTCAGGACTTCTCCTGGGGATGAGAAGGCTTAGAAAAGGAGGATAGAACCAGCTCCTGTAACCACAGAAGACAGAGTAAATCCTGAGAATGATCATGTTCTTATTAACATTGATAAGGCTTTTTCCACAGATTCTTCATGCAGATGTAACAGCAATCCAAAACAGGATGTTCTGCAACAGGGTATTGTTTTAAATGGCTCAAAGGGAGGTTTGAGTAGCATGAGAAGGATATCCTGTGAGTACCAGGAGAGGAATCTGTGGACCTTAAGAGGACTTAAGTGATGCTCTGCAGAGAAATCTTTTAAACTGCAGGTTCAAGCTTAGTGGCAGTCATCCTGATTTGGAGAGAACAAATGATATGGCTGATGTCTGTCTGCAAAATGTGCCTGGTTTGAGACCCATATCAAGTCTTTCTTGTAGGAAAATAAGGAGTCCCTTTATGTTTCTATGTTGACTTTTTCCTGTTCCATCTAGAAAATGCTTTGCACATGATCTCACAGAATCATGTCGTGGCCTTCCTATGGGATGGCAGTAGGGTATTTATAACTGCATTTGGAAAGCTTATATTGCTATAGATTGCACTTTCAATAAACAGGCAACTAGCCAGAGCCATTGTGGGCACTCAAGCATGAGCAATGAGATCTGGCTTCTAGTGCAAAAACCATGGTCTTTGCCAAGTTAAGGCTAGGCTTTCCAGGATTCATGGTCTATGGGACCAGAAGGGAGTAATTAAGACTACTGTTGCTCCTCATCTATTGATCTTTTGCAGCAGTCGTACAGAAGCAGAAATGGAAGGAAGGTATAGAATTTTGCCTTTGGATAGTTGGTGTTCAATGTGCATACAACAACGAATCCAAATTCTTTTCCCATACTTTATAAAAGCCAACACATATGTCTCAGCAGATGCTTCTTTTCATGTAAGAGTTCTCCAGCAGGTATTATTACCATAGATTCGTTCACTCAAAATTATATTGCTTTCCTAATTACATATTAGCTTTATCATATACCATTGTGGGATGCCTTCCTCACAACAATCTGGAGAATTGACTATTGGTCCTTATTCAGAAGGTTCCTGGGTGTGCAGAGGGCATCTCAACCACAGCCTATGCTTTTCACCGAGCCTCTGAGTAATCCTATGCTCACCTGCCCCGCAAACAATGAGCCCAAACATGCCCAGAGACTTTCTCTGCACATGCTCAGAGACTCTTTCTTTGCTGGATGAAGACTGCTGGATGTACATTGGAAATAAGAGGTTTTTTGCCAAAGAACAGTCTGTTGTTTTAAGAGAGGAGGAGAAACTTAGTGTTTGACACAAGCAGGTCTCACGACACAATGGCTCTTCCCTGCTTCCTCCTCCTCCCACATACCCTACATTTATTTGATGGTCATTCAACCCTCTGGAGCAGGTTTTTTTTTGGCCGGGGGTGGGGAGGGGAGTCTGTTCCATCAGTGGTTCTCGCCCACCACTGGATGCAACTGAGAATGATGCCCTGAATGTGCATGGCAAGTTTCATTCTAGTCCCCCTTGTTATTGCACAGTATGTTATATTTTCCTGCCACCCTTTCAAAACTGGGGCAGGTGTTAAACTGTTATTCAAACTTGAAACATGCTATACATGTACTGGGATTTAGGCTAGTGTCTATTTTCTATGAAGTAGGCACCCATATGTACCTACCCGTACCTTGAGATCACCTTTGGAGGTCCTTCTCCAGGAAATGCCTTTAAAGTATGTGAAGAGGGAAGCTACTCAGGGAAGGGCTATTGGTAGTGGTGCCTCATTTATGGAGTACACCTGGTGCCAATACTGTACATGTTCCAATGCCAGAAAAAAACATTTTTATTCACTCAGCATTTTAATGTTTATGTGATATGGTATTAATATCTACAGCCAGGTCTTTTTTTATTTTCTGGGATTTTATATTTATTATTTTTTAATTACATTGTAAATTGTTTAGTTTTGCTTATTGTTTGAAGGAATGCTTGATTGATTGTTCATCTGTTTTAATATATTATATTATGTCTGGATTTTATTGAGTGCAAACTCTTTAGAGAGACAGCATGGCTGAATGAATGGTATACAAAACTTTTAATAAATAAATATATAAAGACAGTGGGTTACAAACAGAACACCCATTTATTTATATATTTAAAGCTTTTATACCGTTCTTTAGCAAAAAGCCCTCAGAACGGTGCAAGATTGACTAGTTCAAATAAAAATATCATTTTGCTTGGCCAGTTACACAGGAATATTTTAAATGGCTGGAGTTTAAGTTTCATATTTGGTTCAAATAAATGTTTGGACACAAGGAAGATTTTCCACTAAAATAAGAGGAGCCAAACCTGAAAAATATATGCTGAACAATACTTTTCTAAAAAGTCACTAAACATTTTTGTACTGACCTGTTTAATTAGCCTTATTACAAGTACTGAGTGAATATTTTCAGTCTATATTCCTTTCTAAACATTAAAGAGCTAACCTATTAGAAAGAATAGTATGGATAATTAAAAGTGTATTATTCCAGTTGTTACCTGAGGAGTTGTGATAAACCCTTTGAATTCCAAGTGCTCAAGGAAAAGGCTTTTGTCTTCCAGCCTTAGTAGGCAGTTCTCCAGTAGAGCCTACAAATTAAGTTTAATATATTAATTGTAAGGACTGTGGGCATGATTTTCTTCATTCCGCAGCTAATAGAATGGGGTAATCAATGTGAGTAGGGAAATTTCATGCATCCGCATTTGTGCGTAATAAAACTGCATGAGCTTGATTATAACTTTGCTTTTTATTTATTTATTTATTTAAATTATTTGCATGCCATCCTTCACTATTGCATCTCAGGATGGCTTACATGATTAAAAGCAAAATCATAAAACAATCGATCGAACAATACAATAAAATTCTCAAAACCCGAAACAAATAAATCCAATCAAAACCAAATAAATAAAAGTGACTGTAAATGGTAAAAACACTTTTGGAATAAACATGAAGGCACAACTTTACAAGAAAAAAACAAATATCCAAGAAAAACAAATATCTAGGAATCTAGACTCAAAAAGGTAGCAGACAGGATGCACTGAGAAGACTCCTCAGTGGTGGCAACTGTGACATCCATGCCATGCCTGTTTTCTTGCCTGAGGGCAACATGGCCTACACATGCGACAAGTGCAGACTAGAGAAAAGGTGAGAGCACTAGGGCAGTGAAGGTCCAATCTCAAGGTAATGAAAGAAGGTGAAGAGTTTTCTGACAGACCAGTGGAACTGCAACAGCTAAGAGTAGTACAGAAGCAGGAGGCACATCAACAAGCTGAGGCACAAGAAGAAAACCGTGAGGGAAGGGAAAATGAGGAGGAAGCTTTCTGCAAAAGGGTGAAAGAGAAAGGACACGATCCCTTCTTAGCCATTCCAGAGTGCAGGACATGAAATAAGAGGCTCATGTTACAGGAAGCCAGATTCTGGCTAGGTATCAAGAAAAATTTCCTGTTAGAGCTGTATGACTATGGAACCAATGGCCTAGGAAGGCTGTGGGCTCTCCTACATTAGAGGCATTCAAGCTACAACTGGACAGCCATCTGAGAGGGATAGTTCAACTTGGAGTCCTACACTGAGCAGGGTGGTTGGAGATAGTAGCCCTCTGGTGCCTTCCGACTATATTATTCTAAGTTTATATGAAGTAAATCCATCCTACATTCAATAGAATGACCCTTTTATTTTCAAGTAATGAAATGCCTTTAACTAGAATATTGTTCAGAGATAAGGCTTTTAAGATGCAGATTTTTGTGGGATGCTGTACCTTTGTACCCAAGAATAGACTACATCACCAATGGGAGCCCATCGGGTTTTGCCATTAAAGTGTTCTGTTTTTTTCTTTTCTCTATGGGAGTGAACAGCAATTCACTTATCTGGAACAAAGTGAGATAGTGCCACTGCAGCGGTTGATAAGCTCTCTCTCTAATCCTTCCAGCCACTAAGAATTTAGCCTCTTCTGCTGGAATACTTTTATCTATTTTTAATAGATCTTGGCAATAGTTTAGGGTTAAAAGCTTAGCAACAGTGCTTAATAAATTATGCAGGGAGGACCTAAATCACAGGTATACAACATGTGTGTTGTATGCAGAAGGCCTCAGGTTCAATCACTGGCACTCTCATTAAAATGATCAGCTCACAGCTTATAGCCAGAACCTTTCCTGGAACCCCTACAGAGCCACTGACAATGAGAGTACACAATTTTGGGCTGGATGGATAAAGTCTACCCAGTTTCCTATGTTTCCTTGATTACCAGAGCTGCTATTTAAACTCTATTCAAGTGCACCTGCCAACAACATAGTAATATACTTCAAGTAGGCTGGAACCATAAGCAAAGTCCACTAGAAATCCATGTGACTAATTGTGGAGTGTTGGCCAACCATCTTATACATGCCCTATAGACTCCACAGACTTCAATGAGATTCCCAAATAAGTGACAGATTGTTCTTATAATTTCTAAGAGAAATAATAGCTTATACATCTTATACTTACAAGTCCTTTTGATAACACAGATTCTTCTGTCCTGCATGAAATCAAGATGCCATCAGTTTTTATACAACTGATTTAAAGCTGTTTTGTTGCTTTGTCCAGTAAAAGCTGTTACGGAATGTGTCTGTGATATTTGTCTCTATCATCTAGCAGAAGTCTTCAAATTGGGCATACCAGCAAGATCCTTTTGTAAGGCTGATTTATGAGAGAATCCTGTCTGAGTTGGACAATACTCTTGCAGATGAGTTCCTTATGATTGCATTATGTTTCAGCATAATTCAAAAGTTCATAAAAAAGAACCAGACCAAGAGTCCACCCAGCGGACAACCAGCCACCCACAAGCAGGACATGAACACAATGGCAGCCTGCTGTGCATGTTTCCTAACAACTGTACCATGCTAAGTTGCACTGCATTCAATACTAGAAACACCACACAGACAGTAGTAGTACCCATTAATAGTCTTACTTACCATAGATTGGTCCAATTCCCTTTAAAGCCCGCCAAACTGGTGGCCATCATATTTTGAGGTAGTGAATTCTACAGTTTACCTATGCCCTAACTTTACAATATTTTTTTTAGGGTGCTGTTACCGAAACTGACACAGTATTTTAAATGTGGTTGTATCATACATTTATATGAGTGTGATATTGACAGTTTCTCCTTCATGGATCCCTGCCTTGTCGTGGCGAAGGGGCTTGCGTAGCTCAATGAAGCTATGAGCTATGCCGTGCAGGGCCACCCAAGACGGACAGGTCATAGCAGAGAGCTCTGACAAAACGTGATCCACTGGAGAAGGAAATGGCAACCCACTCCAGCACCTTTGCCATGAAAACCCATGGACAGTACCAAAAGGCAAAAAGGTATGACGCTGGAAGATGAGCCCCTCAGGTCGGAAGGTGTCCAATATGCTACTGGGGAAGAGCAGAGGGCTAGTACTAGAAGCACCAGAAAGAATGAAGCGACTGGGTCAAAGTCAAAAGGACACTCAGTTGCAGATGTATCTGGTGGTGAAAGGAAAGTCCAATGCTGCAAAGATCTATACTCCATAGGAACCTGGAATGTAAGATCCATGAATCAAGGCAACCTGGATGTGGTCAAACAAGAGATGACAAGACTGAATATCGACATCTTAGGAATCAGTGAACTAAAATGGACAGGAATGGGTGAATTTAATTCAGATGACCATCAGGTATACTACTGTGGGCAAGAATCCCTCAGAAGAAATGGAGTAGCCTTCATAGTCAATAAAAGAGTAGGAAAAGCAGTACTGGGATACAATCTCTAAAATGACAAAATGATCTCAGTTCAAATCCAAGGCAAATCATTCAACATCACAGTAGTCCAAGTCTATGCCCCAACCACTGATGCTGAAGAGGCTGAAGTTGACCAGTTCTATGAAGGCCTACAACACCTTCTAGAATTAACACCCAAAAATGATGTCCTTATCATCATGGGGGATTGGAATGCTAAAGCAGGAAGCCAAAAGATAACCGGAATAACAGGCAAGTTTGGCCTTGGAGTACAAAATGAAGCAGGGCACAGACTGGTAGAATTTTGTCAAGAGAATACGATGGTCACAGCAAACACTCATTTCCAACAACCCAAGAGACAACGCTATACATGGACATCACCGGTCAACACAGAAATCAGATTGACTATGTGCTCTGCAGCCAAAGATGGAGAAGCTCTATACAGTCAGTAAAAACTAGACCAGGAGCTGACTGTGGCTCAGATCATGAGCTTCTGGTTGCAAAATTTAGGCTTAAGTTGAAGAAAGTAGGGAAAAGCACTAGGTCACTCAGGTATGACCTAAATCATATCCCTGATGAATATACAGTAGAGGTGACAAATAGATTTAAGGAATTAGATCTGATAGACAGAGTGCCTGAAGAACACTGGACGGAGGTTCGCAACATTGTACAAGAGGTAGCAACTAAAACCATCCCAAAGAAAAAGAAATGCAAGAAAGCAGGATGGCTGTCTGAGGCAGCTTTTCAAATAGCTGAGGAGGGAAGGGAAGTGAAAGGCAAGGGAGAAAAGGAAAGATACACCCAATTGAATGCAGAATTCCAGAGAATAGCTAGAAGAGATAAGAATGACTTCTTAAATGAACAGTGCAAAGAAACAGAAGAAAACAATAGAATAGGGAGGACCAGAGACCTCTTCAAGAAAATTGGAGATATGAAGGTTTCATGCAAAAATGGGCATGATAAAGGATCAAAATGGCAGGGACCTAACAGAAGCGGAAGAGATTAAGAAGAGATGGCAAGATTCTACAGAGGAACTATACAAGAAAGCACTTAACATCCCTGATAACCACGATGGGGTAGTCACTGACCTCGAGCCAGACATCCTGGAATGTGAAGTCAAATGGGTCTTAGGAAGTCTGAGCAACAACAAAGCTAGTGGAGGTGACAGTATTCCAGCTGAGCTATTCAAAAACTTAAAAGACGATGCAGTAAAAGTGCTACATTCAATATGCCAGCAAATTTGGAAAACTCAACAGTGGCCACAGGATTGGAAAAGTTCAGTTTACATTCCGATCCCAAAGAAGGGCAATGCCAAAGAATGTTCAAACTACTGCACCACTGCACTCATTTCACATGCTAACAAAGTTATGCTCAAAATCCTACAAGCTAGGCTCCAACAGTATGTGGACCAAGAACTACCAGAAGTACAGGCAGGATTTCAAAGAGGCAGAGCAACTAGAGATCAAATTGCCAACATACACTGGATCATGGAGAAAGCTAGGGACTTCCAGAAAAACATCTACTTCTGCTTCATTGACTATGCTAAAGCCTTTGATTGTGTGGATCACAACAAATTGTGGCAAGTTCTTAAAGAGATGGGAGTACCCAACCATCTAAATTGTCTCTTGAGAAACCTATATGTGGGTCAAGAAGCAACAGTGAGAACTGGACACGGAACCACTGATTGGCTCAAAATTGAGAAAGGAGTTCGGCAAGGCTGTATACTGTTACCCTGCCTATTTAACTTATATGCAGAGCACATCATGAGAAAGGCGTGCCTAGATGAATCACCAGTTGGAATTAAAATTGCTGGGAGAAATATCAACAACCTCAGATATGCAGATGATACCACTCTCATGGCAGAAATGAAGAGGAACTAAAGAGCCTCTTGATGCGGGTGAAGGCGGAGAGTGCAAAAGTTGGTTTGAAACTCAACATTAAGAAAACAAAGATCATGGCATCCAGTCCTCTCACTTTCTGGCAAATAGATGGGGAAGAAATGGAGGTAGTGACAGGTTTTATTTTCCTGGGCTCCAAGATCACCGCAGACAGGGACGGCAGCCAAGAAATTAAAAGATGCTTGCTCCTGGGGAGGAAAGCTATGGCAAATCTAGGCAGCATACTAAAAAGCAGACACATCACCCTGCCAACAAAAGTGCTTATAGTCAAGGCTATGGTTTTCCCAGTTGCAATGTATGGCTGTGAAAGCTGGACCGTAAGGAAGGCTGAGCACCGAAGGATTGAGGCCTTTGAATTGTGGTGCTGGAGGAGACTCCTGCGAGTCCCTTGGACCACAAGGTGATCAAACCGGTCAGTTCTAGAGGAGATCAACCCTGACTGCTCTTTAGAAGGCTAGATGCTGAAGATGAAACTCAAATACTTTGGCCACCTAATGAGAAGGAAGGACTCCCTGGAGAAGAGCCTAATGCTGGGAACGATAGATGGCAAAAGAAGAGGGGGACGGCAGAGAATGAGGTGGCTAGATGGAGCCACTGAAGCAGTTGGTGTGAACTTAAGCAGACTCCGGGGGATGGTGGAGGACAGGAAGGCCTGGAGGAATGTTGTCCATGGGGTCACAATGGGTCGGACATGACTTCGCAACTAACAACAACAACATTGATAGTTTTACTTTGAATTTCTTTCCTTTCTTTCCTTTCATGCCTACCACAGAACTTGTCTTTCCCATAGCAGCCATGTTTTTTCATTAAGACGTCTACCACTGCCCCAAGATTTCTTTCTTGGTCAGTCACTGCTAGCTCAGAACCTATTAACTTGTACCCAAAGTTGAGATTTTGTACCTCCACATGCATTACTTTACAGTTGTTTATATTTCAACTCATTTGTCATTTTGATTCCCATTCTCCTAAGTTGGAAAAACTCCTTTCAGAGCTCTTTACAATCTCTTTCTGTTTTAATAATTCTAAATAACTGATTACAAGTTTGGCCACTTCACTGCTGACTCCTAACCCCAGATAATTCCTGAGTTAGTTGAGAAAAATTGGTCTCAAAACATTACAGCATGATTCTACTATTTGGATTACTAAATATAGAATTTACCATTTATTCCCATTCTGCTTTCATTTTTAGCTAATTACTGATACATAAGGGAATCTCCTCTCTCACTCCATGACTGCTTATTCAGTTCCTAATCTAGAAACATAGAAACAGAGCGAGTCAGAAGGGGCCTCCCGGGCCATCTAGTCTGACCTCCGGCACCAGCCGGCTCCGCTCACGACATGGCCACCATGAGAATGTCCAGCCTGTCCTTGAACACCCGCACCGATGGGGCCTCAACAACCTCTCGTGGAAGCCCATTCCACACCCTCGGGGTCCTAACTGTCAGGAAGTGCTTCCTGGCATCCAAATGGAACCTTGGCTCCCTGAGCTTTGCTCCATTGGAGCGTGTCCTGCCTTCCTCTGCAGGGGAAAAGAGGTTTCTACCCATCTCCATGTGACATCCCCTCACATACCTGTATGTCGCCAACATATCCCCTCTGAGTCTCCTCTTCTCCAGGCTGAAGAGACCCAGTTCCCTCAGTCTCACCTCATATGGCATCCCCTGCAAACCGGCCACCAACCTTGTGGCCCTGTGCTGCACTGACTCCAAACTGGCTATATCCTTTCTGTAATGAGGGGCCCAAAACTGAACACAATACTCCAATTGCGGGAGCACCAGAGTCGTGTAGAGTGGTAGTAACACCTCTCTCGATCTAGAAGCCACACTTCTGGCTATGCAACCAAGGGTGGCATTCGCCCTCTTGACCACCGCATCACACTGCTGACTCATGTTTAGCCTGCAGTCAACCAGTACCCCGAGGTCCCTTTCACAAGTGCTGCTCTCCAGCCACTTGTCACCTAACCTGTACTTATGACACCTGTTGGAATACAGCACTGTACAAAGTGGCCTCAAACCAAAATGTGTGAATGCACACAAGCTCTTTAAGAATAGTTATAGGTTGCTGCAATGTTATCCTTTGAGTTGGATTTTTGACACTAACTTCTCATGTATTAGTCTGTAAGCAGTTCTGCTATGAAAGATACTGCAATGTGTGTTAGAGCCAATTGGAAGACTGAGGGCAAAGAGTGGGAGAACAACACACAGAGAGCTCAATACATCTGTCAGGTGCACTATAGGTTGTTCAGTGAACACAACCTCACCCCATCTCCCGACCAGAATGGCCATGTTCCATTTTTGAACATGCCCATTGTTTTGAAAATAAACTTATCTCAAAAAAGAAATATACTTGTCTCTAAATTGAACTTGTTCAGCATGAAATATTATATTACCTCTGCTCCCTGAACTACAATTATGTTAACGTCAGTCTGTTATTGCACATTTGTAGAAGTGTTGTTTCCTGCACTGCACTGCACCCTTCAGAACATGTAGGATAAAAACAGTAATCAAATAGAACTAATAACCTTACCTTTTCAACAGAACTCTAATGTGCACCATGTTGCATTGCAGAATATATGATGGCCTACAACAAAAAAAATCATACATTGGAGTATAACCTCAGACAGTCATGCAAGAGAACTGGACAATACAAAAACTGATTTCTACCACAAAGGAAAAGCATGTTTTGTTAGTCTGCCTTGCTGGATCGCCTGGAAGAGATACTTCAATCTCTCAGGCAACCAAATGAATGGCTACTTATCAGTCTGTGATTAAAATCTGCCCCCTCCCACCATCATTTCCTTGTGAGCCACCCCGAGGCTTCTGCGATAGGTGCGGCATAGAAATGTTATAGATAGATAGATAGATAGATAGATAGATAGATAGATAGATAGATAGATAGAGGGAAAAAACTTACCTGAAGACTACTGGAAGACAGTCCATATCAAAGCCATCCTGAACAAAAACTATGTAAGACAGACATGCCAAAGAATCTGCAGATTTTTCTTTCTCCATTTCCAATAGATCCTCATTATCCCAGTTTTTGTTTCTGCATCCATGCCAAAGAAACACTCTTGGAAACAATTCTTTAATATTAATCAAAATGCCCTGTTAAAGAAAAAGTTTTATATCTCATGATTAAGTGAGAATAAGTTTGAAATGTCTTAACACAATACATATACCTGTGAGAAGAGAAGAAAACAACTTTGCTCTTCTGTATATGGTTTTAATGAAAAAATAGATACAATCCAAAGGAGGGTCTGGGCTATGTCTTTTTGTATTTTATATCCAAATTTATAACAGTTTGCAATGCAGGTTACAATAGCAAGTTAACTCCCAACATCCCAGGCCATTTGCCAAGTTGAAGCTGATGGGTATTCCAGTCCAATAACATCTGGAAGAACCACAGGTCCCTCCTCCCACAATATAATGTAGATAGTATGGTTTTGAATGTTAAAAGGTGTTGCTCTGTAGTGGAAGAGCTACTGAACTTCAGAAAAAATTATTTGCACGTGAATAACAACAGACCCTTTCTACCTGTCTTTTTTTATTTGACTAGGACAGATAATGTGTTTAAACACACACTTGTCCTGCTGTCACGTCTAGTGGGGCTGGTAGTTTTATTTTTCCTTTGCATAAAAAGTTTCTAGCCTTCAGAGCTGTGTGGGATGTGTCTGGTGCTGTGCTGAAATTCACAGGAGAAAGCAGAGGAATGATCATAGGTGAAGGGGGCAAGAGGACAGCTGTATTGGATACCGAGACTTGTACTTCCTTAAACATGGGTATTATATGTTAGGTGGAGCAGCAGAGGCTATAATCTGGAATACATATACTGTCCCACTACATTGGAGCCATAAGCTTCCACTGATTAGCTGCAGACCCCAAAATGTCTAAAGGGCCCCAAAGGCTTTCTTTCTTGTTATTACAGAATACAAACTAAGTTTCAAAAGCAAAACAGGAAGATGTGTGCGTTAAGACAAATAGAAGTAACAGTACAAAGGACATTCAAGTGAGACACCAGTGCAACAGTTGTAATGGGACATACATAAATTCTGTGCTGCTGCTTATGGGCAAACCAATTACACTGAAACAGAGAAGATGTACAGCAACCAAGATGAAGATGCTTGCTCTTTTCCTTTGGTCAGCTCCTGAATATATGACTGTTTAGTTTTATTGGCATAATTCAGACTAGTAACAGAATTAGGGGCATGCTTGTGTGTGAGTTCTATACAAACACAGAAGAACCTTGCCAAAAAACAAACAAATCAGATAAAAGCAAATCACTACAAGGACTGGATTTGGACCATTATACTTATCTGTAGCATTTAGAGTTTTAGGCTCTGTTGAAATGCTGTTCTCAGTCCTTAACTGAATCAGCACTTCCTTAGAAAACCATGCACATGAATCCTTATAACAAGGACAGGAAACCAATGTTTCAAGGAACTGCAATTCATTTACAGCTATGGGGGAAATGCAGCTGCAATGAAAATGTGCTTACTAGTATGTCAGCAGCAAACTGCCTTAGTGGATGCTGGAGAGTTTCTTCAGGCAGTTGATCAAGATCTGCCATTAACAGGGGATATTCCAAGCTTTTCAGACAACTGAAAACCAAAGAGGATGAGTACAGTATAGCAGCATGCAAGATGTTCAATAATAAAAGCATCAGCAGAGGATCAAATAGCCTTATTGACTTAGCATTAATATTATACTACATAACTAGAGGTGAGGGAAAGAAAGAAAGCAACCCTCTTAGAATTTCACAACTGGCACAATGCCGAGAAATGGAAATTTGACTTTCATTGTGATGATATGGCAGTAAATCATCAACTGAGGATAAAGGCTCTTAACTTGCCTTTAAGTTAGCAGGCTGCAGTATGTCCTAGGTTTCTTCTTTGCAAAATGAGTTTCTAAATAAGGAACTCCACTAGGTTCTAAAGATTACCTAGCAGCATCCTTCTACTTTTTCCAGCAATTTATTTTGTTAACTACAGGTATAGCTGGTAACATGGCACTTTTGGGAATGAAAGAGGCAAATGTTCTTGGTGGGTTTTAAGGCCAGGGAGACATGAACTCTTCAGATGAGGAATCTGAGCCCTGAAAAATGAGGCATCCAAATATCAAGAAGGAAGATGTGGAAAAGCTTATCTCAAGATAATCCAGGTGTTCGAGCAGACCCCAAGAATAGCCAGAGCCTGCAAGATCTGGGAGTGGGTGTGGGACAGCCCCAGGGAGCCACATGAGCCTGGCACAATTCTTGACTCCATGACACAGTGCCAGGGGTAAGTGCTAGCTAACTAGAGGGGTAATGAACAGCTAAGACACTTGCCTATCTCCAGAAGATCCCAGAGTTATTCAAAAGGAGGGTTTGGGGAAGTAATTTCTAGTTTTGTTAGAGACTCTAATGTGCTTAGATACATTTTCTTTGCTGATGATTCTTTACTGGATATACACTAGAGAATAAAGAACTTTTGCCAAAGAATGGTCTCCTTCAAAAGTGTGAAGGGGGAAACCTAACTTCTGATAGGCACGAAACATACATAAAGTCAGGCATGTGCTCCAAGTTTTATGACTTGGGGTGGAATGACACATTCAGTGGCAGAATCAGTTCAATGCAAAACAGTTGTAAAGTACTATGTTAAAAGGAGCAACTTATAGTAAAGAAAAGTAGACAGAGGATGCTTACCTTTCCCCTGCAATTCCCACCTCTTCCATTTCCCTCCCATAAGGTGGCAAACATGCCTGAAAAGTGGTGTCAAAATCATGGGAGAAGGGTGAAGTACTCTCTTCCATACACCACTTTCCAAGCTGCCCATTTTCAAATGTTTGTAGCTCTCAGACTGTGGCTCCCCAAAAAGCATGTAACTCCGTGATTACATAGTCGTTCTAGGCAAAAATAGGGTACTTACAATCCTAGTAACTCCTCCTTCATATCTTTGTACTCTCCACCTAATGAAGCCGCCAAATGTTGAACAACGTCATCCACAAAAGGTTTAACAAAATGTGTTAAATCGTTGCAACACCGGCAGAGTCCATGCTCATCTTCTTGGAGTTGTTGTTTTGTGTAAGGCACTGGTAGATGTGACAGCTGGTTCAAAATGGTAGACAATGACAACCCCAACGAATATGCTTTCTTATTATGAAGTTTCAGAAGCACTAAGAATACAAAAGTAATTCCTAAATGTCTCTTATAATATTTACTTTTACTTGTATGGATTATACATTTTGCCTTGTTTTGAGAATCAAAAGGGCACTGAAAAGTGAGCTAATTAATATGTATCAGCTGAGAACTTCAAAACATTTCTCAGATCAAAAGTAATCTTTTGTTTGAGAAGCTCTATAAAGCTCAGAAACTTGTATGTTCTCATCACAGGAGGGCTAATACAGTAAAAAGTTAAGATCTCACCCTTACAAATTATCAAATGAAATAAAATACTTTAGAATAGATGATCAAAGGAAGGGCCATAGCTGTTTGCAGAACCCCAAAGGGATGATCTTGGTCCCTAGGCAAGAGGTTTTTCACCTCTGAGGTAAGCCAGAAGCTGATATCTAAAGATCTGTCAAAGAATACTTGAGTTCTTTTTGAACAGTAGACTTCTTGTGCCATACCAGAAACTAGTTTTGAAAGTCTCATCATGCAATAGGAATAGCTGCTGTTCAAGAAACACAAGACCCAAAGCTGCCTTTGCAAGCAGTGACAAAGCTATTTGCAGCCCAAAATATTTTGGATTTAGGTTTAAAATAGGAAGTCTGCTCTGGATCCACTTGAGTAACCCTGGCTAGTTCCCACCTCAGTCTCTGCTTTCCTTCGGTAAGACAGGAATAATAAAAGGTGAGGGTCCCAAGAACTAGAAGTGGCATTCCACCTATGGGAACAATATTTTAATTTGACCTACATCTCCTTGGACCCCTTGAAAAGCCACCCTGGAGAATCCAGGGACACTTCGAAATGCCATTCAATGTCTCCTGAAGCTGGAGCAAGAAAACAACTCAGGGATTCCCCTGCATGTAAGCAAACACCCTTCCACTTGCCCTAAAGCATCTTTGGCTCCAAGCCAGTGCTTCTACCTAGAGTGGACATGAGTGCTGCTGAGACTAGGGTTGTTTTTCAGCCTAGGCTACCTCAGAGGGTGTAGCAAAGATAAAAAGGAGAGGGGAAAGACCCCTGTAGGCTGCCTTGATCACATTAACTGACCCAGCACAATTAAAATGAAACAAACAAGGACTCTTCAACAGTTACAACATTACAACTTGGGATGTATTCTTATAGCGCTCCATAACCTAATCACACCCAAAGAAGCTATAAGGTGGAATGTTCCACCATACTTTTTACAGCAACTAAACTATCAAGTTATGGTTTCAGTGTTAAAAAAAACCCTCATACCTTCCTGCAGGGGCTTAAGCAAAAGCAAAACTGTTTGGGATGTCTGTGTTCTTGAGGCTTGTTCGATCTGCTCTAGAAAACCCAGCACAAGCTCTTTTGGGATGCACAACTGCAAGAAAGAAAAAAGCCAGTATAATGTGCTTCTATTTGTTTATTTTTCTGCTTTTATATTTTAACCACATCTGCCTCCTCTACCATGGTAAACATATGGCAAATTGGGACATTTTATATCATAATCAAGACTAGTATACAGCTGAAGATCTTAAATCCACAACTTTTGGTTGATTACATGATAAAAATTAATATGAAGAAAAATCTGAAGAAAAAGTACTTTGTTTTTAGTTTATGCTGTCATGTTTTAGAGAGGCATTCTCCTTTCTCTCACAATAGAGATCCTTCTCTCCATCTTAACTTTCTCAAGTACTTCTATTAAAACTTTTTAAAAAAAATAATAACTACCTGCTTAATTAGGGTCACAATTTTAACCAACATGTCTCCATTTTATATAAACAAGAAAACACTGAAGCTCTAATAATGCTCAAATAATATATTTTGTGATAACAATTACAGCAGACAGTTTTTATTTTCATAAAGCATGTCCACTGTGACTCTGTAAAAGGAGACGAGATTCTATTTTATTTTGCAGTTTACACTGTAAAGTTTCAAAGTAGCGTAGATGTTCTACTCCAGTTTGGCAAAGCCAAGCTTTATGATTAATAAAAGCCGGTTGTTCAAGAATTAGAGTTTCACTCATTCTCCCCGTCAAATCATCCTTCCCTGTACACACAGACATTTGGACATTAAATATCAGTTCTGATTTAAAAGTCTTGCATTTTCAAGATTGGGAGATGCGAGTCTTTAAAGAGGAAAATTGCCTCCTGAAAGCATTTGTTCTTCAGAGGTTGTTTTTGGTTAGATCAAGAGCCATACACACGCTGTGCAATAAAGAGTAGACGCTGCATAATTTTACACTGTAATGCTTAAACCTGCAAGTGAGGAGGCTCCTTCCATATAATAAACTTGCATAACAAGAACAGTAACTGGCTGAAACATTGTTACTCTATTTGACAGTTTACTACATGCAGGAAGAGTTGGGAACATTAAAAACCAACATGGGAAAAAGCTCTTCAACTTCAGAGTGCATTCCCTCAAGAATTAAGATTTGTCAATCTATTTATTATTTTAAATTGTTGCACATCCGGATGGCTTTTGAACAGATGAGGTAGTATATAGATGCTAGTAATAAAGGAACATATGTGAAAGGGCAGTACCCAGCAATGACATTCCGCAAACTCAAACAATAGCAGACCTCCACTGAGTCCGTTTGTTGCACAAATGGCTGCACAACTCTCCTCTTGCTCACAGTATGAAAGCTGTTTCAGCCAGCACAAGGTCACTTGTGCTACTGGGATGACACAACTGAAGATTGCTCTATGTGATCTAAATCTATTCCCTTTCTATTTCATCTCCAACATAACCTGAAGGGCTGCATTCCCCCATCCTTGGGCAGTTCCACCAATTCACAATTATTACTTATGTTAGCAAAAATCCTAGGAATGCTTGTCTGCTGTGTTGCTGATGAAGGGCAAAGCCAAACGATAAGGTGCAGAAAGTGCCCCAAGGTTCTATCAGGAAAGACACCATGACTTACCTCTGTCAATTTATCTAGCATTTTTAGGCAGTGTTCTCTCTTCACATCACCTTCTTTATGCTTCAGTATGCACCTGGTTAAAGGGCCAAGCAGATTCCAGCCCATAATTTTAACAATAGCCTAGAAAAGAATAAATTTTAAACACCAATTTAGATGAAAATAACTAGTACTTTAAATATCAAGGACAAGTGCAGTGAATTGATACAGAGATCTGCATTCATAGCTGCTCCATCTATGTTTCAAGGTGTTTTTGACATAGATTACTTCCAGTCTCAATGCATATAAGGCCTAGTCCTCACTGAGGTAGTAAGGCTTGCTATGGACTATAGTACCTCAGACTGCAGACAGGCATTTACATACTACAACCCGCCTCTACACAAACATATACAAAACTAGTAATAAAATTCCTTCCACATGTCAGCCACTATGTCAGAGGAAAGTACAGGATAAAAATAATTTTCCTAGTTGAACTGGAGGGAATTGTATAAAGAGCCCTTAATTATGCAACCCCACTCCTGCTGTCTGAAGTGGTACAGCACAGGCACAGGCTCATTACCTCTAAGAAAATTAAGCTTAAACCTTAGTATAGAGTAGTATTGCACCAGAAATAGCTAACTTGTGGCCTTTCAGAGGCTTTGATGTACAAACCTCTGCATTCCTATCCTTGGGATGGCTAGATCTGATGAATGCTGTAAGCCAAAACATCTGAAAAGCCACAAGTTGCCCAGCCCTGTTTTAAGCTAAAAATATTTATGGGGCCTTTAGCTACAGGGGATTTACAAGCATCCTAGAGTTTGAAATTCTCAGTGTTAGGCATTCTTTTATTTTTAGTAAGCAGCACCTGCTAAGTTGTAAAGTTTGATAAGATCGGTATCAGCAGTGCAAATTCATGAGTTGGTGTGATGGACAACAGTCATGCTCACTGGAAACATTAAAAACTCTAGATGAGCTTCTCAAACATGGAATGAGCTAAGGAGTCATGAAATATTTGCACTCTAGGTTAAGAAAATTCTAGTTTCCAAGTACTGGGAAAATTTTCTGGGTTGTTTTCAACTTGGATTCCTCCCTAAAGGGCACATATTTCTAGAAATACAAAGACAACCATAACGCCCCTTCAAAATCCAAAGTTAGCGCCTTAAGCAAGGACAACAAAATGTCAGAAAATAAAGTGCAAGTTCTTGAGTTGTTCATTACTTTTTATTAGGCCAGCTACAGACAGGAGCAAAAGAAAAAGTACTTATAGCAAGGATTCTGATAGAAAAAAGCAATGACTGACCTGATCCCATTTCTGAAAATATAAAGGCTGAGCTTGTTCTTGTTTTCAAACAACAATTTTCAGAAATGGGGGGGGGGGGGTCAGTAATGGGGATTCTTTGTCCCAGAATCCTTGATAAAACATTCCATCAGTACACAGTGTGTGGGTAATTCAGACTACAGGTTTAAAATGCAGACAGAGGCCTTAATAGCAATCAGGCTCTTGGACCATTTAGCCTAGTATTACCAGCACTGACTACAGCAACTCTCTAGGGTTGGAAGGAGCGGGTTTTCCAGCCCTTTATGGAGATACAGCAAATTGAGTAAGAGACCTGCTGTAGGCAAAGCAGAGTGCCACCTTATCATATCTTTTGGTTTGATGAAGAGTTCAGGAAAACTGGCCAGGCTGGCTTATTTTATATTGTGTGTGTATATATACATATACATATACATATATATAAAATTATTATTATTCTAATGTGTATATTTTAATTTATGTGGTTTTAATTTATTGTTGTAAGCTGCCCCGAGGCTTTGGCGAATTGGGCGGCATAAAAATGTTTTAATAAATAAATAAATAATCTAAAGCTTGCACAACATTTTGTGACAAACTATAGACAGCTGCTGAACAAGCAAACTACAATCCTGGATTGCTTTCCTGGTTTGCCTTAGCTAGGATTCTGTTTCTACATTTATGGCAGGTTATTATATCTAAACCAGGTATCATGATTTAAAGTCCTCTGGATGGCTGTCCAAGAAGGAAAGGGTATTGCTCCTGAAATGTGTCTTTATACAAGTCTGCACACTACTTTCTGTTTTCAGGTTCTAAGCTCATCTGGAACAAAACTATTTAGGAGAAATTTAGCTCAGATGGTGTGCTGAGGAAAACCCCACCCAATGCAACCCCACATTATAGCAGAGAACAACCCAATATCAGTCTGATGGAATTTGTCCCTAGTGTGTTATTTGTGTGTTATTTTGAGGGGACAGCAAATTTACACTGTTATACAAGCTATATACTCACTACTTTACATTGTAGCAAAGTGTCATTCCTTCAGGGTTGTCACATGAAAAGATATAATAAAGTATTTACAAAATGTGAGGGGTGTACTCACTTCTGTGATATACTGTAAGTTAAATAGGCAGGGTGACAGTATACAGCCTTGCCAAACTCCTTTCTCAATTTTGAACCAATCAGTGGTTCCATGTCCAGTTCTCACTGTTGCCTCATGACCCGCATTTAGGTTTCTCAAGAGACAAGTAAGATGGTCTGGTACTCCCATCTCTTTAAGAACTTGCCACAATTTGTTGTGATCCACACAATCAAAGGCTTTAGCATAGTCAATGAAGCAGAAGTAGATGTTTTTCTGGAACTCCCTAGCCTTCTCCATGATCCAGCGAATGTTGGCAATCTAATCTCTAGTTCCTCTCCCTCTTCGAAATCCTGCCTGTACTTCTGGTAGTTCTTGGTCCACATACTGCTGGAGCCTAGCTTGTAGGATTTTGAGCATAACTTTGCTAGCATGTGAAATGAGTGCAATGGTGCAGTAATTTGAACATTCTTTGGCATTGCCCTTCTTTGGAATTGGAATGTAAACTGACCTTTTCCAATCTGGTATAAAAGCATCCTTTACAAAATCCATCTTTCTAGTATCTCATGGGCTTCCTACATGCTGCATTTATTTCCTGTATGTCTGAATAAAATAATGTTCTTCTGATTGTTTACCCCCACCATACTTGTGTTCACTTTCTCTTCTGTTCACTTTCTCAGAGTCAAGAGACCCCATAGTACAGAGGGTGGAACTGAGGCTCATGCAAATGGAGGAAAGCCATTGCGTTATTGCAACCCACACTGCCCTTGTAGATCAATTTTGAATTAGATCACCTTCCCAGACTTTTTGAAACATGCTACTAGAAAAACACTGAAAATAGCAGGGCAAGTGTGCCACCTTGGCAACAAGACAAGCAGAACACAGGAACCTAAAGGTTTGCCTTGGCTCACATAGGCTTCTTTGCATGTCATGGTAAATCCTGCCTTAGCATTTTGTGCTAACACAGCCATAGTATAAAATGGTTTTAATATCCATATTTTATATGCTGATGTTAAAACATGCATTTGTGGATTATAAGACTGTGCTGCAATTAGACATAGGTTTCTACACTTTCCCTCTATTATGCGAAAGAACATTTGTCATAGCATATGCAAGCAAGCATGCTGCAGACTTTAGCTGTGGTGATGTGCCACAGTTAAAGTAGTAAAGCCATGAGCACACTTGCCAAAAGCCTGAAACCACATTGTCACCAAACCTACAGACTAACAAGACTAGAAGAGATCAATGAGAAGATCACTATAGCAATGCATAGTTGGCAAGAATGCACCAAATTGTCTCTACCTGCCACAGGATTTATTATCCAGGTGTTAAAAATACTTATTTGTTGTTAACTCACCCTATTTTTCTCATTTTGAATTACTTCCAACACTTCAGCTGTATAGCCTTCTTCCAAGCACTTCTGCCCTGCAACTTGAAAGAGATGAAAGTCTTCGCCTTTAAATTCCTCCTCATCTAGAATTTGCTGCAGGAACATAGATACTTTAATTATACTTGTACAAGATAAAAATAGATACAAAGAAAACATCTTAACTAGCTATAGTGATTTCAATTCAGTACAAATCTAGGGCAGCAACTTCAAGACCTTGCCAGATTCTCAATACTGTGTGCAAGCACGTTCTTTTAGATAGCAATCCTGTGTGTGTTTAGACAAAATAAAGTCCTGCTACTTCTGGCACTGACCAGTCAGACACACTGCCTGAGGAATGCCAGTTGTTAGGACTTTCTTCTGTGTAATCATATACAGGACTGCACACTCTTCAAAGCATTTTGTTCAAGCTAGTGTCTACCAGTAAAACCTTAAAACAAGTTCCTACTTTTATAAGGCCAATGGCAAGTAATATCAGCTTTCTCAAACCAGAAGAAAACAGAAATGAAGACATGGCTTTATTTTATGCTGTCACCCGTGATGACGATTAGAACAGCAGCTTGTGCTACTTAGCATAATTTCACAAGCAAATAAATTACTTACACATTTTTCTATTATGTCTCGAAGTTCCTCTTCTGCCATTATTTCCAGAATCTCAAGAGTAGTATCACTAGTTTAAAAAAGGCAGAATTAAACAAGACACATTTTATCTTTATCGAGATTTGCTGAACACCTTTTGCTTTTCTTCATGGCATTACACACTGTTTAATTACCTTCTATACCACGCAACAGCTGAAGTTTTCTGAGCCACTCACAACAGCATATTTAAAAAACAAAATATGTCATTAAAACATACTAAACCATCATAAAAGTTAATACAAACCTGAAAATCAAATTTAAAACATCATATGTGAATAAATTATGTAAAAGTTAACTGTGTAATCCTCCCCCAAACTAGTGCCATCCAGGACCTCTACTTGAATCCTTCATTATTGTCCCTGCTGGTTGGAGCTGATGCGAGTTCTAGTCCAAAACATCCAACCGTCTACAGAGGGCTGAAGAAGCTTGATGTAGAGTCAGACCATTGAAATACCTAGTACAGTATTGCCTATTCTGAAATGTATCACCTGATCTCCAAGGTTTCAGTCAGGCTTGGTATTCCAAGGCACTATATAAATTACAACAACGAAAGTTGAACCATCATAGATGGAGGACAGTGAATTTATGTAAAGAGAGAGTAAAGGGAGATGTATATAATAACGATTGCATTCATTTCAGAAACTAGGATTCAACATCCTACAAGACATATGGAAAATCTGCAACAGCTTTTCCAAAATTTATAAAGCTTTGCAGGCCAATCCTAATTTAATGAGAATAAACTGAATATGCTTCCAAGTAAGCATGATTAAAAGCCTTACTGCAGACTATTAAGCATATTATACAAGAAGTTCTGAGTGCAATGTGTTGAGCCTGATTTAGATAAAAATGAAAATTAATAATATTCTGCTTATTTAAGAAAGTAAAAAATACCTTAATTTGGCCTGAGACCAAAAGTGAAAGTAAAGCTGGGCAAGAGTTTGGTACCAAGGCAAAGGAATAAGATGCTGGTGAAAGGAACATAGTAACCTGATGAAAACTACTGCTTGGGGCAAATAAAATCTAATGAAATTTCTTACCAATACTTTTGGTCAACATTGGGAGGAAGAGGAGGAGGCAAGGATAGGATTAGACAGTGCTTAGCAGTCTAATCCTATGCAGAAATAAATCCCACTGATTCACTGGGGTTTATTTCCAAGTGAGTGCCCAGACAATTGTAGCCTAAATTCGTCAAAAAAAGAGAAAGAAAAAAGGCCAAAACCCACCAACAGACATGCAGCCAGACTTGAGAAGCTCACCTCCTGTGTGTCTCAGTGATAAAAGCCACTCTGCTTTTAGAGATTAAGGACACAGATGTCTTCCTTAATTTACTCCTCCGAGGAGGGCGGTCAGCTACCCTATCAAGCGAACTTCGCAAATAATGCTGCCAATCCAAAGCGTGCTTATTTGAAAAGAGTAAAAATGCTGCGTGGACCTATATCCAACGTTAGTCCTACTTAGAGTAAGCCAACTGGAATGAATGGGGCCTAATTTAGACTAACCCTGGGCACAGCCCATTGAGCAGTAGACGCAGGACCCTATTCACATCTAACTCACATCCAAGGAGAAGGGAACAGATCCACTTCCGAGCAACCCTGCAGAGAGCCGGGCTGCCACGGCTTCCGCAGCTCTGCGTTCACACCAGCCCTGCCTTTCCACCCGCCTCTGCACAACACCGCTCACCTCACACGCCGCCAGCCGCTCGCTCCACTCCCGCCTCAGCCACCCGAGCAGCCTTCATGACCGCGTCCAGATCCCGCCCCTTTCGCCGGCTCCATCCCCGCCCACCGCGGGTGAGAGCTCAGAAACGGAAAGGCCCGTGATGATGGCGGAAGAGCCGCCGCGGAGCGCCTCGGAGGTCTGCAGTCGCCGCAGGCGCGCAGGTCAAATAGATTTTTAAAAAATACGGGAATCGCACTAGCTGCCCCCCCCCTTTTCCTTGCCATGGCCTGCTCCCTCCTGTTTCTCCATGAGCATCACGATCAAGGGGGGAGGACTAAACCAACCTGCGTTTTCTGGGGGGGGGGATGGTGTGAGAGTAGTTGGAAGAACGAGGCATAGCACCGTGCTGGCAGGAAGCTGATGCGGTAGACTCCAGAGAGGCTTGCCCCACGCTGAGGCTCGAAGGCCGGCGGCCCTGCTCGTGTTCCTTGTTGCAAATCCCGCGCGTGATACGATCCTATGCAAACTGGTTGCAAAGTAAATTTCAATGAATTCTCTGAGACTTCTCCTGAAGTGAGTGTGAGCGGGTATAGAGCCTTTCTGCCTTACACGATTCTGAATCATACTTTATTGGAAGTAATTTCCACGAAAAATGGATGGAGCTTAGGGCCAGGAAAACCTGTTTAGGATCTGGTTTTACGTCTGAACTTTAGAAGTTTTATCCTGTAGTCTTCGTAACAGCAGAAACTAGAAAGTATGTGCCATTGAACATAGTGGGATTGTGCTGTTAAGGTCCCTTGTAAACGTACTCATATACTTTGTCACAAAGCAGTGGGACTCACTCCGATGTAAACGTAAAAATTTTCTGTATATCTGCAAGCTTATTTATACTTACCTTGGAGTGAACACAGTGGGTGTTGCTTCCAACTAAACCTAGTGTCTGAGCTTGCAATTTCCCTCACCCCTCCCAATCCCCTTTCCTTTTGTGCTGTGTTCATAGATTTATATGTCTGAAGGAAAGGGCTATGCTATTCTTTGTAAGCTGTTTTGGGAGTCTCTTTGGCTGAAAAGTGGGATAAAGCACTTGAAATATAAGCAAATCTGGACAGATGTGGACGGGGAGGGGGGGTCTTTGTTTTTTTGTTCTCTGTACCTCAGTTACTCAGTTACTGTTCAGAGAAATGTGGGAGGGTGTTCTTTAATATTTATTTATTTATTGGCATTATATCCCACTTTTTTCTTACAAACTTAAAGTGGCCTACATCATCCCCCCGCCCCCCCTTCAAACTTATTCCCACAGCAACAACCCTATGAGGCAGGATGGGCTGGGAGTCTGTGACTTACACAAATTCACCCAGTTGGTTCCATGGCCAAACAGGGACTAGAACCCAGGTTGCCTGAGTCCCAGTCTTGTGCCCGCAACCATTACACTGGCTCACTTTAATATGTTTTTTTAATATGGACAGGAATGGACAACTTGTGATGTACAGTTCACAGCATCCCTAGCCATTAGCTATATTAGCTAGGAATGCTGGGAATTGTTTTGGCCTACAACATCAAACATCTGGAAGGTCATAAATTGCACATTCCTGATTTTAGTGCTAATAAATAAATTCACATAAACTGTTCCGTAAAATTGTAAAAAGTAGAGTAATGTGATATGAATAAGTATAAGTTAATGATGCACATGTGTGAATGGTGGGTTTTTCTTTGCTTTCTTTGGCTCAGTTATTAGAATTGTTCAAGACAATAACAGACTTTAAAACCTTGTAGAGACCATTAAGAGGTGAGTTAGTTTCCCCTGCTAGCACTCTTCTGCCTTTATTCACGATACAATATGCAGAAGTTTAAAAGGTACAGCATTCTCATATACAGAGAAATGAGGAAAGTTGTTGATTTTTACCTGGCATATGGCTGTAAAAAGTAAAGAGGCTTTGTCAATATAAAAGGTGGTGGAATCTCAAATTATAAAAAAACTTCTGTCATTCAGGGAAATTGTGGGATGCTTTAGTATGGATATGATTCAAGCACATACACATGGACTTTTTACTCAGAACTATGAATATTCCTAATCTATGCCTTTGCTTTGTTGTTGTTGTTAGCCCCGAAGTTGTGTCCGACCCATCGCAACCCCATGGACAACATTCCTCCAGGCCTTCCTGTCCTCCACCATCTCCCGGAGTCCACTTAAGCTCACACCAACTGCTTCAGGGACTCCATCTAGCCACCTCATCCTCTGCCGTCCCCTTCTTCTTTTGCCATCTGTTGTTCCCAGCATTAGGCTCTTCTCCAGGGAGTCCTTCCTTCTCATTAGGTGGCCAAAGGATTTGAGTTTCATCTTCAGGATCTGGCCTTCTAAAGAGCAGTCAGGGTTGATCTCCTCTAGGACTGACCGGTTTGATCGCCTTGCGGTCCAAGGGACTCGCAGGAGTCTCCTCCAGCACCACAATTCAAAGGCCTCAATCCTTTGGCGCTCAGCCTTCCTTATGGTCCAGCTTTCACAGCCATACATTGCAAATGGGAAAACCATAGCCTTGACTATAAGCACTTTTGTTGGCAGGGTGATGTCTCTGCTTTTTAGTATGCTGCCTAGATTTGCCATAGCTTTCCTCCCCAGAAGCAAGTGTCTTTTAATTTCTTGGCTGCAGTCCCTGTCTGCGGTGATCTTGGAGCCCAGGAAAATAAAACCTGTCACTACCTCTATTTCTTCCCCATCTATTTGCCAGAAAGTGAGAGGACTGGATGCCATGATCTTTGTTTTCTTAATGTTGAGTTTCAAGCCAACTTTTGCACTCTCCTCCTTCACCCGCATCAAGAGGCTCTTTAGTTCCTCTTCACTTTCTGCCATTAGAGTGGTATCATCTGCATATCTGAGGTTGTTGATATTTCTCCCAGCAATCTTAATTCCAACTGGTGATTCATCTAGCCCCCCTTTCTCATGATGTGCTCTGCATACAAGTTAAATAGGCAGGGCGACAGTAAACAGCCTTGCCGAACTCCTTTCTCAATTTTGAGCCAATCATTGGTTCCGTGCCCAGTTCTCACTGTTGCTTCTTGACCCGCATATAGGTTTCTCAAGAGACAAATAAGATGGTCAGGTACTCCCATCTCTTTAAGAACTTGCCACAATTTGTTGTGATCCACACAATCAAAGGCTTTAGCTAGCAGAGTGAAATAAATTTACAAAGTAACACCTGGCACATAGATAAAGGGGAAACCATCACCTGTTTAATTTTTGCATCTCAGATGACAAAGGCATAGAAACCTCACCAATAAAATGTTGGCAGCTTTACCATTGGATTAATTGGTCCTATAACATATTGTTGGAATATTTCTTTAAGTTAGATGAACAGCCACCAGTTTATGCACCCACTATGTGGACTACAGTTGCCTACTCTGAATAAGCCTAGGCAATAAAGGGGTAAAACTCACCTTCTCTCTACAATGTAACTATTCTCTCTGTATACACAATAATGGTTCATCCATGTTAATTGTCAGCTGCTGCTTAGAACATGCCTGGAGACTTTATGGGACCTAGAGCTATCTAGGCTCATAATTGAAGCTGGTAAATCTAAAACTAGGCATGCATCAAAGCCATATTGTACATGAAACTTATCATGCCCTTGTTGATAAGTTATTTTTCTCAATATTTGCATGTAGAATTCTAGAGATTTTGCATGCCCAGGCATGTTATAATCTTAGTTATAGCATGCTTTAAGCAGAAGGCAGGGTTCCCAACATGTACAAAAACACACTTGTTAAAAAGTGAAATATGAAGGAAACCATGTGCCAGGACAAAATACGCAAAAGCTCTTCCATAATATGGCTGTCAGAAGAACAGCTTTAAACTTGTCAATTTAGGATCCTGATATGTACCCCTGTATACATATGCTAATATATGCCTGTCCTGAAACCTTTTGTCTTTTTTTTTTTTTTTGGTCCCTTATCTTAAACCTGATCCCCTGTCCTCCAAACTGTAGACATAACTAATAGGTTATAGAAGCATCCTGTACCAAATCCAACTTAATAGTCCTTTGTAGCTGCATGTATTTTCTGTATGTTTGAATAAACTAATTTTCTTTTGCTGTATGCCCTCAGCATACCTGTGTTCACTGATTTTTGACACATGCAAGTAAAATAACATTTTCACATTTGTACGCTATCCATGAGAACTCATTGCCTTGGATTGAGTTAATATTTATTTCCACGTTTGCTTATATATTTTGCTGTCTGTTTTGTTATTAGGAGATAAACAATCTAGCACTGTGAAAAATGAAGATAAGGCACAGAGGTATTATTACTTTGTTTCTTTGTATCTTCTTAGTTTATGTTCTGTAGATGCTACACTAGTCTTTTCAGTGAGAGATCTGTTAGCTGATGAGAAGCTCCATTTTTCAACACATTCATTCAGAAGAAAGCTCCAGTTGGTTTACTGGAACTTTCTCCCAAGTAAATGACCTTAACTTCTACACTAGACTAATTTGCTTGCCCTTGGCTCCACAAAGGCCTGTACATTCTTAACATCAGTATCTTGTGTGGGTGTGCCTTCACACCTTTCCCCATTCCAGGGCTGGAGAAGGGACTGAGAGCTGTTGTTAGAAAGCTGTGATGTGTTGCTGGTTTCTGAATGTGTCTGAAAGCAGTATGACAGAGCGTTTGTGTATAACCTGGGCCTTCTTTAGACCCTGGAGAAGACTGGCAACTGGGACCTCCCTTGTGGAGCATTGAGCTCTCACAATAGTAAAAAAGCATGGTCACTAGCAACAAACACATGTGTGAAAGATCTTTGTGTTTGACTATAAAACCCTAAACAGCTTGGGCCTGGGGTATCTGAAGGTCCACCTTCTTCCACGTGTACCTACCGGATTGTCATGATCTGGTTCAGAGGCCTGTCTTGAAGTGCCATTCCAAAGGAGTTCAAAGGGGTGGTGAATAGAAGAAGGACCTTCTCAGTGGCTGCAACTTATCTCTGGAATCAGCTCCCCAGAGAAGTTCACCTGGCACCCTCAGTTTTATTCTCCAGGCATTTTAATAATTAAACTGAATTGTATCAAATTAATTTTAACTTTATTTTGATTGTAAATAAATGTTTAGTGATGACTCAAATGCTATCCTGGCTTAGGATAAATCTTGTTAAAATATTATGCAGCAGTTGTCATTTGTTTTTTAATAGATTGGGTTTTTAAAAATTAACTGTCATATAATTTATGTGATAATGTCTTGTTGGGAGTCCTGTTCAGGACTGTTGGGTACAGTTTTATAAATCCAGTAAATAAACAAATATTAGCAATTTTTCCAAAACATGTCAGGAACTTTACATTCAGTTTGTAGATAAATGTAATAGCAGTTGAGTGGTTTTGTGTAAGGTGTGAGGAAGCGTAAGTTCAATATTACAGCGGACTGCATTAACTAAATTATTTAATGCTTGTATATATTTTAGATTTACATTTCTTAAGCACATGGATAGAAGTTTCCAAAATATCATCCACAAAGCTAAATAGGGGTAGGTAACCTTTGGTTTGTGACCCTATTTCAGAAGTGCTTTGTGTGTGATCAATTCAGAACTCTGGCAAGAGTGTTCTGTCCCTTTCCTGGCAGCCTACTGTGTGGGAAGGAAGATCGAAAAAAAGGTGACCGAAAGGGGAAAGGGCCACTTGGCTTTGGGCCTACTCTCCTCCAGCTCTGTAGATATGGCCCTTGGCAGAAAAGGTGCTGCTTACCCCAGAGCTAAAGGTTTCTTTTCTCATAGGAAAGCTGCGCTGGAAGCTGCTATCAGAAAGAAGATTGAGCATGAGCGAAAAGCTTTGCAGATTGTCGAACGCCTGTTGGAAGATGATATCACTGGAGAATTCCTTGTGGAATGTGTATGTCTTTTTATGAGTTTTATGCTAAATCTTTTAGTTTTGGGGCACAATATTATGCTTGATGGGCAATGCAGGGAATTGTAGGACTTTTTTCATCTGGATTTGTATAGCTTATGCCTTTATCATTGCTCCTGGGAAGGGCTTTGGTAGGATAGCATCCAGATAATGTTCCCAGTCTAGAGCAAGCTAGTTGTACATAAAGGCTCACTTATGCATAGTGTGATGAGATTTGTGTGTGTGGCAAGTATGAGGGCCTTAAAAGATGTACTGCACTTTCAGTCCTTAAGGACAACCGACTTTTACCAGATTGGTGTTATAACATTTCTAGTTCTTGTAAAATACTCTTAGCAGAAATAGAGCAGTGTTAGGTGTTTAAATGCCATCTAGGTCAATCTATATATGTGCAATCCTATACACATTTATGTGGGAGTAAATCCCATTGAATTCAGTGGTATTTTAAGTTGGAATGCACAAGCACAGGTTTGGGCTATTGCTCACTTAATTGATTCTGCTCCGATCTTCTCACACTGAAATGCTTTTAGACTTAGATAAGTAGTGTACAGCCCTTACTAATACTGCCTCTCCACCAGCCATCTGGACATAGAAAACATAGAAACAGAGCGAGTCAGAAGGGGTCTCCTGGGCCATCTAGTCTGACCCCCTGCTCTAGCTGGCTCCACTCACGACATGCATACTGGGGAGCTGTGGTCCAACGAATCTGGACAGCACAGATTGGGGAAGGCCTGCCTAGCAGCTGGAAGCCATCAGACGAATGAAGTATGAGTCTCACTGGTCAGGCACACATGAGAGAGAGGGAAAGAACATGTAAAGGTTGGAGTTCGTGGCAAAAGAACAGAAAACATAGCCTCTGACCACTCAGTATCAGGGATGGACAGACTTTGGGCTTGTAGGAACTGCTGTGTGTTTTACTAGAATGCTGAGGGCCGCTGACTGGAGCCAGAGGCCAAGCAGTAGCTCAGGGTCAGGTGCATGCTGTGAACTGAGGAACAGGCTGTTGATGAACATAGGAGTTTGTGACTGGTATCAGAACCAAGCCTGCAAATCTTTCCATGCATCCTTGCAGGGAAAAGGCAGGATATAAATAAAACAATAATAAATCTGATCCAAGTTCTCCTGCACATATGTCCAACATGTTCTTTTCTGACAACCTAATTTAATCAGGCAAAGAATTTGTTTGTTGGCATTCAGAAACATGGGCTTATCTGCTGTTAACCAGCCAGATGTCTGCCAGTGGATCTCAAGCTGTCCTGTGTCTGCCCCTGGTTAGAGCATAAATGTATGTAAAAATGACTCTTCATGGCAGCAGCAATTTGTGATAATGTGATCACCTTTGCTTGTTTGAGTAAATTAATCCCTGTAGTGGGGGAAGGAATTATCATCTGCATTCAGACAGCCATGATTTTGATTGTGTTATCACCAACTACATGTGAAGAGTACATTTGCTGCACCATCCTATGACAAGCATGTCTCAATGCGTTCAGTGGAACTCACTCCTATGTTGTGGCCCAAACTTTCATTGCATGCTTAGAAACTGTACATTTTATGTTCTTTTGCCACTGAATGACAATGTTTACATGTCCTTTCTTTTGCATGTTAAGATGGGTAAGTACACTAGATGCTTCTGATAAAGGAGACTCTCAACCTGGTGCCCCCGGATGTTTTGAATTATGACTCCTTAAGATCCAGGCAGTGTGGCAAATGATGGGGGATAATAAAATAGTTGAAGTCCGAAGGATCTGGAGGGCATCAAGTTGGGGAAGTCTGCTTTATCCCATAATAAAATATGTTCCTTTGCAAGGTGATACAGGTTTCTTCATGCATGCTTTTTGCAAAAGCACCAACAATCAACAATATTTCCGTAGCATGCTTTCCAAGGGTTCAGAGCATTTCACATGATAATCTAGTCGTTACGTCAACTTGGTAAGGGAAATCAGTATGGCTGTCCTCATTATTGCAGACGATACTGGGGGAGAAAACCCATTCGAGCACTGAACCTGGGCACATCAGGGCAGTGTTCCTGTGTGCACTGCCTCTGCCTCTCCAGTCTCATCATGCTCAGAACTGAAGGGAGACTCTTAGCATAGTCAGTTAAATGCACTTAGAAGCCTTCTCATTTAAAATTTAATTCCTTTTTGTTGTTTTCTGTTCCTGTTCCTTGTTCAATATTATGCTCTTCATTTTTGCAGGCTGCAATCCTGCCCACACAGACCTAGGAGTAATCCTATTGAATTTAATGCGACTTACTTCTGAAAAGACACATACAGGATGGCACTTTTCTCCTCCCCACATTCTCCCATTTCGTTTCATTTACTGCCAGTTTGGAGAGGTTACTATTTTAACATGAGTCTCTTTGTTTTTTCCTAATTTCAGGGGAAGTTTATAACACCTTCTCACTATAAGGATGTTGTTGAAGAACGATTTATCATCAAATTGTGTGGCTATCCCATCTGTCAAAATAGGTTACAGAATGTAAGCAGCTATTTATTTATATATTTAAAAATTTCTATGCCGCCCCATTCGCCGAAGCCTCGGGGCGGCTTACAAAACATCAGTTAAAATATAAAACACTAAAATATAAAACACATTAACATTATAAAATAAGTCGCCCTGGCCAAAGAATTAAGCAAATAATATTAGCAATTAAAATGACGTTTGAATAAAAAGGTCTTTGCCTGGCGCCAAAAAACAAATAACGACGGTGCCAGGCGGACCTCTCTGGGGAGCGCATTCCATAGAGTGTATATGTGTTATTACGTTTTCTGCAATTTTCTGTTCAAAGTATATTCCTTCCAGGGAATTATCCAGTAGGGTTAGGAGAAACAGGGATACTTTAGCTTGCCATTATTTGCTTTGTAGCTTGGTTTAGATATCTTGCTCCTATCCTTATTTGCGATCTGTTTTAATTTTCGTTTAATTGGGGGATATGCATATTTCAAAAGAGTAAAGTATGCATTTTGTGCAGTTTTTTTTTCAAAAGTGCATACTTCCCCCATATAAGAGCATATGTGTTCAAATTACATTTTGAAGCAATCACAAGCATGGGGATTTGTGACATGTTTGAAAACATATGCTCTTATATGCATTTAGGACTACAAACAGGGCAACTCTGAATGATTTGTAAACTGAAACTCAATTCTTGTGCATCCCTATTGTCCAAAACCATGCTTTTATTTCCCTTCCTCCAAAAAAAATCTACTGGACATTAGAATGCAATAATTTTATTTTTGTTGCTACATGGAAGGAACTCTTTAGTAATTTCTGTGTAGAAATAGTTACTTGCCCAAGGTCATTTAGCTGGCACTAATTCTTCTCATGTCGACTGATAAGCCTGCAATCAGAGAGTAATTCTCATTGAACTCAATGGGACAGACTTCTCAGTTGATGTGTAAGATTCGGTAAGGATTTGAACCTGGATCTCTGCAGTCTGAATCTGAAATTACATGCTATGTAATATTATCCTCAATTAGATATAACATTGAATTATGGATTAGCTTTATATGAATGAATCTGGGCCTATCTCAGGCTTGCATACTCCCTGCTTCCATCTCCTACTCTATTTTGACCTTGGGAATTAAATCAGAAGCTTTTGGTCATGATTTTGGCTGAGTGTTAACCATGACCCTTCTAACAAGGCATGATTCACGGGGACATACACAGCCTGTCAGTCACATCTGTTTCTCTAAACAGTCTCCATTCAGAGGTAGGCAGCATGACATATGAACTCAGACTGCAGGGTTGTTTGGGGGCTAAAGAAGCCAGTGGTAGACCTATGTATTGTTGTTCGGTTAACTGCTGAGGGGAGACTGTTTGCAGAAAGCAGAAGCAGTTCCCATGTGGTGAATATCACTGTACAAATCATGGTTTAATTAATTAACTCCTAGTTTGCTGCTATGATGTTCCAAAGCCTCTTTATGCTCAAAGTGAGACACTCTGTGGCTATTCTTAACCAGCATTTACTGACATGACCTAACTTCAAAAGTTGGCTTATGAACATGGTTTAATTCACTAAACTATAGTTAAGATTAACTACCTTTAGGGTTTGGCTATAATGCTAAACTATGATTAACTGAAAGCAGAAGCAAAATCTTCTGATCACCTTGTAGTCATGCCAGAGCTGGAGTGGGGAACAGGGAGCACAAGAGCTTGAGGTTCATGTATGTAAGAATAAACTGTAAGGCATAGTTGCTATACCCAGACTGAGTCATTGTCTTCTTCAAAACTTTATGGTATTTTTCACCTTATTTTTTCAGGTGCCAAAACAAAAGTACAGAATTTCAACAAAAGCGAACAAAGTTTATGATATTACTGAAAGAAAGGTAAGCACACGAAGTCTCCTTGCGAATAGGCCACAGTGGGTTGCTTGCTCACTAAACAACCCGTGCTATGCCTGAGAGGCAGTCTGGTTGGCCATGGCTTGTTCTCTCCAACAGTCCTCCAATTAGCTCCACCTGCACCCCAGGTACCTCTGTCTCTTGCCTCTTCACTCTGGCTTCTTCCCCTGTCTGATCACTACCCCTTTTTGTTCACCACTTTTTTTTAGTGCTTTGTGAATATGCAATTGTTCTTATAATTTTTTCTCTTGATTTTTTTCAATGCACAAGAGTTCACTTTGTCTGATACATGTAAGCTTACCTGGAGAATACCCTTGTATATTGCTGCTGTCAGCAGAAACACAGAAGTGAGAGAAGTAGGTGCATCAAAAAGTACAGGAAGACAATATCCTATTTATTTATTTAAAACCTTTGTACCCCGTCCTATACATAAAAGTCTCAGTACAGTCCAACAACAAGGGCACAGCATAATATCTATGATAAAAGCCTGAATAAAATAAAAATTAGTCTTAAAATAATGGGAAAATAAAAAGGGGTTGGCTTGGCGCCGAAAAGAATAAAGTGTCAGTGCCAGGTGCACCTCTCTGAGGAGCATGTTCCACAGCCGGGGCACCACTGTAGAGAAGGCCCTTCTCCGGGTAGCCACTCTCCTACTGTCTTTCAGTGTGGGATTCAGAAGAAAGATATGTTGAACATGGGTGATGGCCGCTGCAGCTGCATCGGCTCACTGCATTACAATTTGTTTTCACATTTGGCAGTGACCAGTTGCAATTGAGAGCAGTTGTGGCAACCTTGAATATAGTGTAGGATACATTTTTCCTTTAGCATGGGCCTCATCCTTGGACGGACGGACACCCACCTACCCATGTGTTCATCTGTTTGACTGGGTACATGAGGATGTGTGTATGCATATGTATATGAAGAGCTATTTAGCTAGGGCACCTTTACAGCAAAGTTATGGGGAGGAACAGGCCATTGCATGGTAACACTTGCATAGTGGCCATCTCTAGCTTGATCTTCCTCTAGTCACCCACAAATTTCCAGGAAGAAAGGTGGCCTTTTGTTTGGGGATGGGCTCCTCACAAATCTTTCCACTGCCTTAAAGAATTTGCCCTGAAGTCTGTTGAACTTTGATTTAGTTTAGGTAACAATCCTCTGATAGCCTGCAGTGCAAAGGCCATGGGTGATCTTCTAGAAAATGGAGGCTGTTGGAAGTGGAGTAGTGGCCATCAGCTTCTTGTGGCCTATGTCCCACAGACAAGGTCAAGCAGCTGCTCCAACTTGTTGGGCTGTCAGTAGCTTCCCCACCTGATTAGGTGTGACCCCAAGAAAGAAGTTCTTTCTTTGGGGAGATGGATTTGAGCTCATCCTGCTGTGCCACGCTAAGGTTGGGGGGAAGCATTGGGCAGAATGGAGGCAGAGGGGAGCAGAAAGTGGAGGAGGGTGACATAGACAAGGATGTTGACAAAAAGGAAAATGAGGCAAAACTCATGACAGAGCAGTAGGACTTGGGGGAATTTAGTGTGGTGACCTTGGCTTTAACCAACCCACAATAAAATCTCTCTGCTAGGTTTAGATAGCATGGCAGCCCATCGAGGGAAGAACAAGCTATGGGTTCTTGGTATGGCTTGTTCTGGAAAAATAAGCCACACCATGGAAAATGTTCTGGGTTTGAACAACATGATGACAAACTGTAGCTGGCTGCCCATGGTGGGTTATTGTGTTATGCAAATGCAGACACCTTTTTTAAAATTAGCATCACTGTTCACAAGACAGTAGTTCAAGATCACAAAGAGCTCTGAAGAGGGAATACTGGCTGCTGGCCATCATTGGCTACTTCAGCTATGCAGTCCTCTCATTGCAGATGGAGCCACTCTCCATGCCACAGCGGTTTCAAAGCGCTTCACACAAATCACTCTTAAATATAATGAAGTTACCCTGGAGTTCATATTTTCAGTGGATTTTGATTTGTTGTACTGAACGTGTAAATTAGGTGTGGGCGACTTACTAGCCCTACATTTTGGCTTGCAGCTCTTACCAGCCCTAGCCGGCACAGAGTTGTAGGTCAAAATATTTGGAGAGCCACAGATTGCCACCGCTGATGCAAGTACTGTGGCATATGACTAGATGAGAACTCCAAGCCAAAGAAGAACTTTCTTCATTGTTCTGCAGTGACTTGCTGCTCCGGTGACACGAAGACAGGGCTGGCTGGCTGGCTGGCTTTTTCTGCTCTTGGTGCTTGAGATACTGGGAAATGTCACTTTCAGGGTGTCTGTTGTCAGTTGTTCTTAGGAAAACTACATTTCCCAGTGTCACAGCCCCTAGGAAAGAGGAAGGAAGGGAAAGATAAGCCCTATTTAGATATCCTCATAAGCCCTGTTCAGATCAGTGATGGGTTCGGGTCCTTTACTCCAAGTCTCAAGTCAACTCTATTCTTTACTTTCAAGTCCAAGTTGAGTCCCAAGTCACTGCAAGAAATTTTTGAGTCTAGTCACAAGTCTCTTCTCAGTTCTCCCTCTCCCCCTGCCCTGCCCTCTTGTCCCTTCCTCCCACCACCCTCATGTCAAAAAGAACTGAAGCCTTGCCTTCCCCATATTGCAACCCCCTCCTCCCTATCTTTCCCCTGCCCCCTTGAAACCCCCTCCCTCCCACCGCCTCCACTGTGTCCGTGCTTGCTGAGATCATCCCAGGATATCTTGCCACACATTGGATGTGGGTGGTAAGCCCTGGAGCAACTCAGTGGTAAAAACAGGAGAAATCTCAAGTCGAGTTGAGTCACTCACTGGTTGCTCCCAAGTCGAGTCGCTGATGAGACTTGAGTCAGACTTGGGAGCAAATCTCTTGAGTCAAGTCCCCAGCACTGATTCAGATGTTCTCAACTTGAGCATGGTAAACATGCAAGCGAAGGGGGTTCTTTAGCCCCACTCCTCTCCCTCACTGCATCTGCCCACCTCTGCTTCAGGGTATCCATACAAGCAAGAATGCTGGGAAATCAGCTGAGAGCCTCCACAGGCAGAGAGGACCTCCTCATCCCAAAGTTCATCACTCGCTGCTCCAGAAGCAGTGAGTGATGCACATAATGAGAAATGAGGGCAGGGCGAGAGCACTCTCTCTCCTCGTGAACTAAAGTTAACCTCTTAGAGAATGCCTGCATCAGAACAAAGAGAGCCAAGCATCTCACCTACCCACCTGCCCCAATAGCAGGTCGAAGAGAGAACTGCAGCAGAAACCAGGTCAGGAGGGTTAGGCAGATAGTTGTAGCTGTGAGCAAATACAGAACTTCCAGGGAAAACTTTTTCTGAACTGTTTGTTACACTTGCTGGTAGCTGGGGTTTCACCTATTTCTGCAAAGCAACCTGCCTGCCCTTTTATGATTTCTGTGTTCCACACTTGACCTTTAAAATGTGTAAATATCTCTGCTTCATTGATTCTTGACATTTACTAATCTATTGAAACATGCAGCAAATTTAAATCTGTTTTATTAAAGTAGGGAAATAACGTGTTGCTGTTCTTTTTTTGGGGACAGCGCTTTTGCAGTGACTTTTGTTACAAAGCATCGAAATACTTTGAAGGACAAATTTCCAAAAGTCCAGTGTGGATCCGAGAAGAAGAAAGGTAACTGGAGCAACTAATAATGCAAATACTCTTTTGCTGACTTCTCTAAGCCAAGAGTGAGGCTCCTGTAGCCCTCCAGGTTGCCATCAGCCCAGACAGATCTGGCATGATGAGAACTGAAGTCCAACAACATCTGGAGAGCCTGATTCCTCACCTGTGCTCTGGGCACACAGTTATATATTTGGCGCCAATGGAAGGAAAACTGTAGTATATCTGTGTGTGTAGAAAAGGGCAGGATCCTTTATTTGCAATGGATTGCTTCTTTCATAGTACAGCAGAGCTCCCTTGGAACACAGGAAGCTGCCACAGAATGAGTCAGAAAACTGGTACATTGGCAGCACCGGGGTAGGCAACCTGGCACCCTCCAGATGTTTTGGACCACAGTTCCCATCAGTTGTAGCCAGCATGTGCACTAATCCAGGAGTGTGGAAATTGTGGTCCATAGCATTGTGGTCCATCTTCTATCTGCCACTTGTTCTCTACAAATGAGCTACAGCCTTTAACCCAGGATCTCTCATGAAGTGCATCCCATATGCCTCCCCAGGCTCCTGTCCTACACCGCCTCAGCTTTTTGTCTTATTTCCCTTGTATATTTTTACCCCCCCCCCATTTGGTCCTTCCAGTTGTTTGGAAAGAGAAGCTTTGCTACTGGCAACGGAAGGGTCAGTGTTGGTACTGGAGTCTTTCAGAAAGGATGTTGTTGCCCTTGCAGTAGTGGTGTGGCTGACGGCTGTGCTGTCATGACTGTGGGAGCCAGTGTGCTGTGGTTATGAGAGCGTTGGACTGGGGGTCTGGGGGCTTCTAGTCCCCACTCAGCCATGAAGCTCACTGGATGACTTGGATCTCACCCACCTCACAGGTTGATGTGAGGATACAGTGGAATGGAGGAGAACCTGGGATTCCTTTTAAGAGGAATAAAGGTGGGATAGAAATGCAAGGTCATAACAATAAAATAATGATGCTTCACTGTCGTAGCACTGGGCAAACTGAGGATGGTGCAGATGTGGTATGTGATTTCTTTGAACAGAGCATCAGCCTGAGCAAACACGCAGCCTTCCCCTCTTCAGCCACAGTCAAACACAGTCAAGTTAAGATTTTTTTGGGGGGCGGGGAGGCTAACCAGGGATCTGAAATGCCCCCCATCTGCTGACTCAAGTCCTGGTCAGCCTGAGGTTTTCCCCTTCAGAGGTTTTGAACTAGAACTCCCACATCCCTTGGGAGTTGGTGGTGTTGGCTGGGGCTGATGGGAGTCTGGATCCAAAAGGGCATGCCATTGATGAAGGCTGTCTCCTGGGTGCTGATGAACTATGTGCCCCCAGTTGAAGGGGTGAAGGAGAAACTTGCTTGATGGGTGCTTGGTGGTTGGTGAGGCTCCAAGGCTGCTGCCTCTTGGTAGCAGTGGTTAGCAGGGAGCCAGCCATGGGTCTCTACTGGTCTGTCATGGTTTGAAAACCTCTTCTTGCAGTCTTGTCTTCGATCTTTTCACTGGGATGGCAAGATTATCTTTCTTACTCTCATTAGAACAGCTGTTCTAACTTGAGCAATCTACTGAACAAGCGCTCTCAATTCAGTTCAGGTCTTGCAAATGGTAACTTGTGAAATAGAAATAGGGTGCTTCCACACAAGGCTTTTATTGGGCAAACACAGAATTTTACAGGACCTCCATTTGTCATCCTCACCCATTTTTCCTGACTCTGCTTTTGTCTCCTTTTTTAACCCACTGAATATCTGTTCAGGAGGGGAAAAACAGAATTGCAGCACAAGGCCTTTTGACGAGTAGTGCTAGGAAGGAGGTCTTTGTCTGGGAGCACCTTTTCAGTACACATGGTAATATGGCGAGGCTGAAAGGAAGTCTCTTTTCTGTTTCTTGTCAGTAGCAGCTTTGTTGTACCTGACTAGGCTAACCAGAAATATTGTGGCTTGCAATACATCAAGTCCCCACTGGATGTCAGTGCTTCACAATCTATGACTTTCTTATCAAGGCATAAAAGGTCATACAGATTTAGCAAACAGCACCCAAAACCTACTCTAATCACACAGATAATAGTTCTAAAATCAGAAACCTGCCCCAACCTCTTGCTTCAATATCAACGCAGTTGGAGAGGGGATTGACCTTAACTTCCAAAATTAGAAAAAAGTACAACTATTTTGGTTGGATTATGTGGAAAATAATATATTCTGAGTTAACTGCAGTTAGAAATGATATTAGCTTTTGAAGGTAGCTTTTTATCCCCTCTGTCTTTCTTTAGTGATTCTAGGTAAAAAGGAAAAAAATACCATGTGGAATTGCACGGAGCCATGCTGGATCAGACCAATGCTCCGTCTAATCCAGATTCCCATAGTAGCGAACTAGATGCACATGGGAAACCCACGAGTAGAATATGAGGGCAATGGCACTGTCCTGTCTGTGTTCCACCTAACCCCTAACTGGTGAACACAAGAATATAAACAGGCGTAGGGGAGGTAGTATATGGACACCAGTAATCACTGTTATTTATCATTGATAAATTTGTCTGGACAGAGGCCTAAAATTCTTTGCCCAAGGCTGGTAACAGGAAGGTGAAGATGGTTTGCGAATTTCTGGTATCAAGAACAGAACATCCAAGCAGCATTACCCAATAGCAGTGATATAATAGTGAAAGAGTTTAGAATTCATTGACTTTTAATGGCACACCAAAAGCTGCTTGGGCACCGCTCCTTTCCTAGTGATATGGACGGCTTTGGCTAAGGACAGAACGTGCACAGACGATCCCCACTAGCATATTAGAATATGCATTCTTGCTCTTCTCCAAAGATGGACAGGGAAGCCTGCCCATCTGTCCTGTTTGCATTGGATGGAGTGTATGGAATTCTGTGCCAGCTTCCCTTTATGACATGCAGCTTTGGTAGTTCAGTCCAAAGCCCCACTCACCTTCAAGAGTCAGTCTCTATTCTGGCAAACAAACCTATACAGCCTCCGGAAAGCAAGCAGAGTGTGTGTTCTGATAACACACACAACAGAGCTGCAATGCAGATTACAGCCATTTTGGCAAATGCCAAAGAAATTTGGCCTAAAGATTTGTCAATGATGAGGCTATTTTGAAACAAGTAAATTCACAGTCAGTTATTCTTTGGAAAGAATTCTGTTGTCAGCCTGTCATGCTGCTACCAGCAGGAGACCTGAAAATGGAGTGAATGCACGATTTGTGTACTGGAGTAAATGAACAAACATTTTGGGGTACCTTAGAAATTCCTTTGTTTGCAGATTTTCCTGGTGTATTTTATTCATGTTGAACATAAAAATGTAGATACTAACTTTCTTTAGGAGGGTGTTTGACACCCGCCACTGCCCCCCCCCCCGGTTCATTGCGTTAACATATGTAGTTGATGATGTCTAAATCTTTAAGTTTGTTACAGAACTGAGGTAATATACAATTTAGGTCAATTCTGTATAATTTTGGAGTAATATATGAACAGGTACAGGATACATGCTGGTGGTATCTATCTCATGAATTGGGAGTTGAGTATATCAAAAATTCAAAACTTCCTGGTAAAGTATATTGCTTTATGTAGAACAAATTAAAGCATGTTATACATTCTCTTTGATTCTTTTAAAATGATATTAATATTTTATGGTGATGTGAAAAATGATGATGTTGAGAAGGTGGTTAATCTATTGACTGTCACTAAGATCTCCATTGCATTTTACTAGGAAAAATGTTTCTAGCCCCCCCCTCCTGTTTTTATTGAGGATATCATAATAATAACATACTAAGGAACAATCTCAGAGTCCTTAGATGGCCCCAGAGGCCTATTAAAAATGTTTAATCTCCAGCTCTGAGGCCGGAGATAGTGCTCTGACCTTGGTGCTCTTCTGCTCCCCTCCCCATCTTAGCTGATGGGGAAAGGAAGGTGCTGACTACCTCTCTCAGGCTGTGAACGTGACCTTGGAGAGCAGGCATACTGCCCTAAGGTCTCTCTAGTGTCCTTCGCTCCCATTGTGACACACTTACTAGAAAGCAAAAAAGCTTGCTTAGCAGAAATGGAGGGCACAGGGGCAGGGAGGCATAGATCACTTGCTCAAAGTAAGCCTCTGAGTTTGGAGGCTTATGAGGTACCACTCATGGGGTTGCATCCTTACTTTATTTGCTTTAGAATAATACTTGAAGATACTTTTCTAAAATGATGGCTGGTATTTGCTTAATGATTGGTTTAGTGATAAACTAATTCCTTAATTACTATGTTATATTTTAAACAGCTCTACCTTCACATGCTAAGTAAGGTTATATTTTATATTAAATCCTTAAAATAATAGGATTTGAATCCATTTTTGAGTCTTCTATATAATCTGTTTTTTTTCTAAGTGCATCTTATTTTTATTTTTCAAGGCCACTGGACATTGAGTTGCTAAAGGAAGGCACAAGGTATGGAATTGATAGTTTCTTTATGTATTTACAATCTGGTTTCACAAGTCTTTGATTTCCTGTCCTCTTCTGTCATGTGACCACAGTTATTGTAGCCCCCACAAAGACTTGTTTGTCTTGATTGTTGCCTGTGTTTCTTCTCCTTTTGTGAGAGTGAAAAGTGTGTTTGATCTGCATGATTTTCAGCTGCCCCTATTACTGGAGTGTATTTGAACCTGTTGAAACACGGCACAAGCACAATGTTTGCTTTTGGATCCAATGCATAATTTTTTGTCCATGACTTCCTTTGTAAGTTAAATGGGACCAATTATAAGTGCTGAAAGCTTGTTTATATCTTCTGGTAAAACATTAAATAAGTAGGTCTACTGGTTTTGTATTTTTAAAAAAGAGAAAGAAAGCCCTTTCTGGATCTGCAATCTGTGGTTTTATTTTATTTTTTTAATGGCTGTATTTGCTCAGATCCTTAGAGGTCTTTTTGTCTAAAATAGAAAGCAAGAACAGCAAGTACTGTGGTTGAACTTGCTGTTCTTGTACAATGATGGAGAAGACCTGTGATGTGCTTGTTGGTCCAATGTGCTTGTTCTTTCGTGTATCTTTATAAGATAGATTTTAAGCTCTTCCATATAGTAAAATAGCTTTCAATCTTCCTTTAAAAATTCAGCAATGTACGAAATGGTTATTGCCCAAATGTCTTCTGGTCAAGGTACATGCCAGTCCCACATCTGAAAAAGTGTGCATATTTATAGACTGGCTTTATGCCAGATATTGTGCTCAGACTGGCTAACACTGATAAAAATACTGATAAAACAATATACTGATTGAAACATAATTTAAAATACAGTTAAAATATAATAAAGGGAATAGCATCCAGCTAATTAAAACCTACTTCAGGCAGCAACAGACTGAGTGTTACATGGCATGAGCTTACCTGAATAAAAGCTTCCCTGCTTGCCAACAGAAGGGCATCAAAGAGAGAGCTAACCTAGACTCCCTTGCAACCAACTTCTGGAAACTGAATGTCCACCTTGTGTTTTGCCAAATGTGTCTTTGGTTGTGGCCAGATCTCCACAAAGATATTAAAACCTGGACTTGCTCAAAAGGGAGCTGGTCGTTTTTCAGGCTGCCTGGTTCTAACTTCTCTAGGGATGTATAGGCTATAACTTGTGCTTCGAATCACGCCTGAAAACTTGCCCAGAGCTAGCGAAGCTTTTGTACCAAGGGAGTTGTGTGTTCCCTGCATCTATCTCCAGCCCACAGCCTGGGCTCAGTAAAAGCTAAGGCATGCACAGCCATGGCCAGATCAGACATCTCTCAGAATGCTTGCAGCCAGCACACTGGCTGGAGCTCCTTTGAAGAAACTCTTGCCTCCTTGGTAGTGTGTTCGCAGCTCTCCTCCATATTCTCCTGCCATCTGAAGTGAGGTGGGTGAGAGCTGGCGGAATAGGGAGCCTTCTAAGTGGTGGGTCCCATTTGTGGAACTTCCTCCCTAGAGGTTTTTGTCTGGCATGTACTCTTTTTGGGAAATCAGAAAAAGACTGTTTTTATTTTCCCAGATTTTTAATTGTTAAATGATGGCAATGTTGCGGCTGCTGGATTTCCTCCTTCCCTACCACTGGTTTATGCTTTTAATTGTTTGCATGTTGTTGTTACACAAGGGACCTGGAACAGACTGTTGTGGTGTCTAGTACTGCTATTCAGGACTCCAGCCGTTCCGTTCTTCCCACCTCAATGTTTTCTCCTTAACAGTCAGCATTTCATGGTCACTGAGCATGCCCTGTACTCACTGGGCTGTTTTAGGGGGTTCCCCCTCCTTGGGGTTTTTCCACCAGAATTTTTGCACTTCTGCAAACCTTGGGGTTGTCCCAAGCCTGCTGATACCTCCCTTCTCTGTGTGGGAAGTGCCATTTTGACCATGTAAGCAAAAGTTTGCACAGCCTCTTCAATGGAAATACAGTGACGTTCATTTTCTTCTTAACGTGTAAGCTTTCCTGAATATTTATGCTGGAGGGTTGCCTAGAAGTAGTAGCAATGAAAGTCTGAAATCCATTGTCAAAGGATTCTACTGTCTGTTTAATCTTTTGGTTGGACCAAACAATTCATGCAGACAACCTCCTTGGAACAAAGGTGGGTACTTCTGCCACATTTCTGCATTAGAAGCAATCAGATCAGTCAGAATTAGAGTTACTTGTTCCCAGAATTAGAGTTACTTGTTTCCAGGAGAGATTGACTGGAACGTGCAGAGCAATGCAGGCAATTGCACACAGTGACAACTGGCATCCTCCTCTTCGTGTGTGGGTTTCTTAGGCTCCAGGAAGCAATCTATTAAAAACACGATCATATACATGACTGCTCAGCAGTAAGCCCAGCTGAGTTTGATGAGACTTTCTCTCAGCTCAATAGACATAAGTTGATATATTCCTTGTGGTAAGCAAGCTATCTATGTTAAACATCCAAAGTCTTCAGGAAAAATTCATTGTCAATACTACTACTACTACTACTACTAATAATAATAATAATAATAATAGCTAAGCCTACAACTAACACAGTGCTATACAGATAAGACCATTCGTGGCTACAGGCTCATAGTCTAAAACATATGAAGTAAAAAGAAAAAGGAAAGGAGAAGGAACAAAGCAACAGGCATTGGAGTAAATGGAAGGAGCACGGTTGGTTTCTCCCTGTTCAGGATGTTTTTCCTGCTAGATGGGATGTTACAGCCTCCCAGCGGCCTTTGGTCTGCTGACTGGGGGGCCAAGAGTGTCTCCCTTCAACTCACAGCTGTAGGATTTTTAAATTAAAATCAACCAAAGCTTTAAATGTCACAGTGGACCCCAAATGACTCGTTGTTTGGCACCTCAGCATTTCAACAAAAGTAGGCACTATGAAATTGCAATCACATTCTGGGATGTTAGCCAAGTGGCAGATTGGATTATCTGATTTTTTAAAAAATAATCATTGCTGCTTCAACACAGAGAAGGAGAATGTTACTGGTACGAGTTTCCTTCAAAGAGTGGGCATGCCTAAAGATGTGACTGCCTGGAAAAGCCCCAGGAAAAAAAGGATTTTGTGGGCAGTGGGGGAAACAGAGGAAAAACATGGCTCCCTCTTTTCAAGGAATTTTGGAAAATTTGGTGAATCCCACCCATTTTTTGGTCCCTCTCCCACAGTGCCTTCACCTCTCTTGAACATCTGCCACTTTCCTTCCTGCTTCTTGGATGTTCTGCATGTGACTTGCCTTCCTCTCATCCCCGCTTTTCCCCACCAGCACAAGAGGAGTGTAAATAAAAATCATACTGGGGAAAGGGAGGGCTGAATCTGTCCCTACTCCACCTGCACTTCCAGCTTCTTTGAGTGAAGAAGGACTGTCGATGGAGACCTTTCTTAGAAGAGGTGTTTTCCCAAAAATTTTGGCCAGTCAAGTGCCATTCACTGTGTTCCTTACTGCTGTTGTCTTTCCATTAACAGTGGCCAATCTGGGAAGGAAGTAAAATTAGTAACCAAAAGCATTAAAGCATTAGATATTGAAAATCCTGCCCCGTTGGAAGCTCATGGTGACTCCAGCACTGAAAGTGAGAGCAACAGTGATACAGAACAAGAGTTTGTCTCCTCTGTTCTGGAAAAGAACCTGGCGAGTGCAGCAAAGGCAGCTTCTCCAGCTCCCAGGAACCGCATACTGAAAAAGGAGCTTGCTGAGAGTGCCAAGCCCAAGCCAGCTGAGACCAAGGATGCAGTTAATGAGGCAGTGGAACAGCTAAGTAGATGCACCTTAGGTGCCCAAGAAGAGAAACGTGTTGTTCTGGAAGGCACTCAAATCGCAAGAACTTGCATTTCTGCAGATGGTCATGCTCCTGAAACTGTGCAAACCTCTGAAGGCGTTGGAGATGACTCTAGTGGCTCTCAAGTGATTTTCCTGGGTGTGAGCCAGAAAGGAGCAGATCATTTGAAAAGATTGCTCACTAAACTGAAACAGCCAGGTCCGGTGGACCCATTTGTTACCAAAAATAGCTTACTCGAAGGCCTTACGCAAACATTTATTGAATGGAGGACTGAGGAGACATTGAAGCTTCTCTCCAACTTCTCAACCTGCTGCAGACTGCAGAACACCCCACAAGCCAAAGATCAGAAGGAGGAACTTGATGAAGATGATCTGGATATTGCTGATGAACTGGATGTCACAGCTGGTGGTGGCAGCGGCCAAAGAGGCACTGTGAGCCCTCTGAGCTGGCCATCACCTTTCAAGGCATCACATACAGCAGCCAAAGCTTTACCTAGCTATGAAAAATTAAAAGCAGAGACATCACAGTTAGAACTAAAGGTGAGGGAATTTTATGCAGGAAAGTTCACTGTAGCTGAAGAAGATCCAGCAATGCAATTGGACAAAGAGCAGCAGCACAGCTATTCTAGAGTAAGTATTTTGAAAATGAGGGAGTGGATTATCATACCTCCTATTCAAAAGCAATCTGGTTGGTTTTTAAATACTGCTTTCTGAAGTACTCCATAGGTTGACCCATGCCCAGATCCCCCAAGGTTGTGGAACACAGATGTTGCACAGGACAACTTTAAATTGGTTTAACATGCTTGTTTGACTTGTTGTGAGCAAATTCAGCTGATTCAAAGCAGAGGGAAGCTAGTGTGGACAAAGGCAGCCCTTCAGATATTCTTGTGCCACACTGCTTAGAGCTTATAGGTCCATACCAGCCTCTTAGATTGTCTCCAAAATGCACCAGCAACCAGTGCAACTTGTACAGTGTTGGTGACATGTGTGCCAACTGCCCTGCCTCCGCCAATTACTACATAGCAGCATTTTGTTCCAAATGAAGTTTCTGGACCATCTTCAAAGTTAATGCACTTTAAAATAGTCTAGCCTGGATGTTGCCCCAGGATGGATAACTTAGGCCAGAGTCATCCTTTCTAGACGGGTTTGCAGTAGGTGCACCAGCCAAAGCTGATGAAAATCGCTGCTGCCACCAGTACTTCCCCAGACTGAAAAGACTTTCGGACTGTGAACTTGGTCCTTCAGAGGGAATGTAGCCCAGTTAGGTCCCTGCTGCACACCACCATCTAGGTTGGGTGGTTTCTCTAGTCATAGCACATCTGCCTTGCTTTGATTATATTTTAGTTTCTACACATTTATCCATCACAGAACCATCTCCACTCCCTTCATCCCTGTGGTGAGTAGGTAGAAATGAAAGGTAGATCTGCCTTTTACCCATATACTACAGTCCAATTTTCTAGCACTAGTAATATTTGCTCCACATAGAACAATATGTAATGTATTTTATATCTTCCCACCACGACTTAATATTTATTGTGTTGTATTTTTGCTATTTTTAAATGACATAGGATGATCAGCAGTGGGTTCCTGCATTTCCACTTGTAGATTCTAACGCACAACTGCAGATTCGGATGCGGATCGTTCTTGAAAAGCTCCAGAATGCGTAAGACCCTTTCACGCCTGCTATTCAAATACTGTCAGGCATTGAATAAACAGCCAGATACTGTAAACTCAGAAAAGACCAGAGCAGAGAGGCAATATCTCTGTGCACGGTTTGCAGGGAGGGGAAGGGATAAATTACGAATTTCCACCAAAGCCCACTGTAGTATTTATCCATGCAAGCTGAATTGCAAACTGGAGAAGCTCTTGGGGGACTGCATTGGTGGGTACTCCAAAGGCAAAAGGGATACTGCCAAAATACCAGCTTTTTCTGATGATGCTCTTACTACCAGTAACTAACCCTAAGGAGAGGCATTTCAACCTCTGTGAAGGGGGTGAGTCCAGTGACCTTCTGGGAAATCCTGGATGGTCAAATTAGGACCCTGAAGGGTCAGGATTTGGCCTCTGGGCCTGAGTTTTTGCACTCCTGACCTATAGTACCAAGAGTCAGTGAGCCAAACTCTATGCTTGGAGAGTGAACATTTGCTAATATCTAAGTGACCCTATTCTACTTGCTTTTCAGTTTGCCTGCTGTTTTGGGCCCTCTTCAAATTTCGCTTGGCGATGTTTACAGTGAACTTAAAGCTCTTATTAAAACGTTCAGGTAAGTATAAAGGACTCTTAGAGACGTTTAAATGCCTCCTCCCACTGACCCTTAAATAAACTACTCATCTATGGTGAGTTAAGAATTTCCTCTTAGAGAGGGGCACCCCCCCCCCAAAAAAAACCTGTTACTGTGAGAATTAGAATCCTAAAGGATAAAATCTATAGGTCACCCTTTCTAACCAACCTTGATAAAGCAGGATGATTTAAAGCTAAGTTGGTTCATCTATATCCATAAGCACTAAATTTTAATCTAGAATGCAGAAAAGCTTAGCAAATGTAGTAGTGATGATAAATACTATGAATTCTGGTTTATAAGGCAAAATCAGATATCTTACCCAGAATTTTCTCCTTTTTTGTTCTATGTGCTTAATCAAGTTTCAAAGACTTGCATTGGCTTGATTGTTAATTTATTTCACTGTTATACTACCAAAGAGACCCATTCATTCCCCATCTTTAAAAAACATGGTGCCACAAAAGTATGTAATTGGGGTTGTTGTAGTTGTAGTAGTAGTCGTTGCTGTTATTAAAAGGCCAATCTGTCTTTTTCCTTTCAGATAAATGTAGCCTTTCCTGGTCAATTTCCTTCTGTTTCAGTTGTTAAAGGGGAAAATAGGTAAATAAAACAGAGAGGGTAAACACGTTCCAAATAGTGCAAGAAGGACAATATCTCTCCCCTGGTGGTGTGATCCCCTTGGTTTTAAGTTGTGAACTGACACTTCTCAGTATCTTCCACTTTTTCAGCTCTTTCTAGCTCCTCCAAGAAGGGAAGGATTTAACTCCTGCCCGCCTGCTCATTTTTTGCAGCTCCTCACTGCTGCAGTCACTGCAGCTCCCCGGCAAGGAAAACCGTGCAGATTTAAGAACTGAGGAGTAAATGGAAGGAGGAAAGATGAACCTGCAGTAATAAAGCAGGTTAATGCAGGTGCAAAAAATTTCCTTCTCTTTGCTTCTCGGCTGTTAACTGTGTACCCATTTCTCCTGCATTTACTTCCCAGCCCTTTTGCATACTTTACTATTTTTTAAAAATTAGTGAACTGCAGTAACTGCCACAATAAATGCTCTGAAAATATCTGGGGTTGCTGGAACGTCAGGAAAGTGTTGAAGAAATGAAGAGTTGTGAGGACAGTTCCGTCCTTAAAATCAGAACTATTCCATTCTTGACAATTCTGCTGTGGCAACTATGCACAAATTCGCCCTTGGGAGTCTGGCCTCATCAGTCTGTTGCCTGCTCCACCAACGCTCCCTTTGACACCTGAAACAGACAAGGAAATTCACCAGCCAAATACACATTTCAGAATTTTGTATATCAGAATACAAAATCCATTTTGCCCATTCATCTCCTCATCCGAGTGTCATATTAACAAGGATCTCCAAACCTGTGCTTATTAATAACCATGGCTAATTCAAGTACAATAATAATGTTCTTGAAGATCATTCATGAATACTATTAAAACTGTAAGCACTTCTCAAATTGAAAGCCTTAATGATAAATAACAAACTCACTGAAAGTGCACTGGACCAGTGAATAAATCATCATTTGCCTCAGATTGGATAAGCATTTCTTCTCTGTGGGCTGGAGTTTCTTCTTTTGGGCTGGAAGAGGCTTCACATCAAATTTGAGAAAACTCCTTTTTCTGAGGGGGTAAAAACACATGGTTAGTGTGTGAGAATTCAGTGAAAAAAAGAGAGTGAGAGAGAAAAGCATGTGGTGAACTCAGCAAGAGCCATTTTCAGCTCCATTGGTTTTTAAAGGAACACTTGCAGTTCATCCTTGTCTCTGTACCATTTTATTCAATCACCACTGCTGGGAAATACACTAAAGAGTTCTCTGGAGACATTTTAGAACAGTTATAGTTCTTCCTAAGCAAAGTCCCTCAGTGCCTGTAAGCTTTTGTTACGAAAACTGAGATGTCAAATAATCTCCAGAGTTGTCCAGAGCATTTTGTTGGAAGAACGTAGTTGGGGGTGGCAGGGGTTGTTACACGTAAATCCAGACTAACTAAAGAAGTTGACAAGTCTGATTTAGTTGTTACTCTTCTGTATTTCTTCAGGCTTGGTAATTTGAATTTGTCTGGCCAAGAGAAAGGAAAGGTATATAGTTTTAAATCTTTTTGCTAGTGGGCTTCTGGTACATGGAAAGCAACTACAGTAAATTTGGCTCTTAGAATCTTCAGCTCACCAAATTACTTTTGCATTTCATTTCCTTAAACAAGTCTTCCCCTCGTTGTGACCCCGTGTTTCTTCTGTTGGAAAAGACGAGAGGTTTTCTTTAAAAACTTCAGTTGGAAGCATCTTTCAGCCAAAGTTTTGATATGGTTGGATAGATTTCATATAGATTTATAAAGACAATAGAGTCGGGGGTACTTAAAACATACGATAGATATTTTTCAGTTTAGTTTCAGTTTTGCATTGGTTTCACTATGAAATATATACTGATTGTATTTATCATTGAAATTATAACACCAGCTTTTGAAAATAAAGTTGGTTATGCTTTTGAATGCAAGAATCATCTGTGCTTCCAATCCAAATGGATAAAAAGCAGCAACTCTATGACCCAAATATTGAAGGTTTAAGAAATGGTACTCTGGGATTTCTTATTTATTTTATTTATTTATTATTTATTTATTAAAACATTTTTATGCCGCCCCATTCGCCGAAGCCTCGGGGCGGCTTACAACATAAATAAAACAAGTTAAAATCCATATAAAATAATCTTAATTAAAACTCACATTATAAAATAAGCCGCCCTGGCCAGATAAAATTCAATTGTATTTAGCATTTAAAATGTTGCTTAAATAAAAAGGTCTTAGCCTGGCGCCGAAAAACAAATAACGACGGCGCCAGGCGGACCTCTCTGGGGAGCGCATTCCATAACTTAGGCGCCACCGCTGAGAAAGCCCTTCTCCGAGTAGCCACCCTCCTAATTTCTCTCACGGAGGGCTCCCGGAGAAGGGCCTCTCCCACCGATCTCAGGGGGCGACTGGGCAAATATGGATGTAAGCGCTCCTTCAGGTAACCAGGACCCAAGCCGTTTAGGGCTTTATAGGTCATTACCAACACCTTGAATTGGGCCCGGACTTCAATGGGGAGCCAGTGAAGCTGACGGAGAACTGGCGTCATGTGAACATAACGTCCAGTCCCCGTCAGCAGCCTGGCAGCTCTATTCTGAACCAATTGAAGTATCCGGACCGTCTTCAAGGGTAGCCCCACGTAGAGCGCGTTACAGAAGTCAAGACGGGAAGTCACCAGCGCATGAGTCACTGTTGCAAGGCAGTCGTACTCCAGGTAGGGGCGCAGCTGATGAATCAGCCGAAGCTGGAGGAAAGCGCTCCTCGCCGCTGTTGTCACCTGAGCTTCAAGTGAAAGCTCCGGGTCGAGGAGCACTCCCAAGCTGCGGACCTTGTCCCTAGGAGGGAGTGCAACCCCATTCAGGACAAGGTTCAGGTCACCTTCTCCGAAGCCCGAACCGCCAACCAACAGGACCTCCGTCTTGTCTGGATTGAGCTTCAGTTTATTGGCCCTCATCCAGCCCATTACCTCGGCCAGGCACCGGTTCAGTACAGCCACTGCCTCACCTGGATTGGTGGAAAACGAGAGGTAGAGCTGGGTATCATCAGCATACTGATGGGTCCGCAGCCCACACCTCCTGATGACCTCTCCCAGCGGTTTCATGTAGATATTGAACAGTAAAGGGGACAAAATGGAACCCTGCGGTACCCCATGGCAAAGCTGCCATGGCGCAGAGCCATAGTCCCCCAACACCACCTTCTGGAATCGGTCGTTGAGATAGGAGCGGAACCACCGCAAAGCGGTGCCTCCGACCCCCAATCCCGCCAGCCTATCCAGAAGGATACCATGGTCGATGGTATCGAAAGCCGCTGAGAGGTCCAGGAGAACCAACAGGGACGCACTCCCCCTGTCCTTCTCCCTGCACAGGTCATCGTACAGGGCGACCAAGGCAGATTCAGTACCGTACCCGGGTCTGAAGCCGGACTGAAATGGGTCCAGATAATCAGTTTCATCCAAGAGTGCTTGGAGTTGTCCCGCCACCACTCGCTCTAACACCTTGCCCAGAAACGGGATGTTGGCCACTGGTCTATAGTTAGCGGCCATCCCTGGATCCAGTGACGCCTTCTTCAGGACCGGTCGGACTACCGCCTCCTTTAAAGGAGCAGGCACCCGACCCTCCCTCAGAGAAGCGTTAACCACTTCCAAGATCCAGGTTCCAATCCCGTGCTTGGAATCCTTTATTAACCAAGACGGGCAAGGGTCCAGAAGGCAAGTGGTAGGACGTACTCGTCCAAGCACCTTGTCCACATCATCGGGCCGCAATAACTGAAATTCATCCAATAATTCTGGACCAGACGGCAGCGTTGGTGTCTCCCTTAAAACCTCTGAATCAATAGTGGAATCCAGCTCGTGACGAATCTGAGCGATTTTCTCCCTAAAATGCTCGGCAAAGTCGTCACAGCGGGCCTTTGAGGGTGGAATCAGCTCTTCCTTTGGCCCTGGGTGAACCAGGCCTTGCACCACTCGAAAGAGCTCCGCCGGACGGCATTGTGAGGAGGCAATGGAAGCGGAGAAGTGTCTCTTTTTCGCCGCCCTCACCGCCACAGCATAGGCCCGATAGTGGGCTCTTAAGTGTGTTCGGTCAGATTCATCACGTGATTTCCTCCACCTACGCTCTAGCCGTCTCCCAACCTGCTTCATTGCCCTCAATTCTGGAGTGTACCAAGGGGAAGAGCGGGCTCTGCCCGGTGGGAGAGGACGCTTAGGAGCGATCGTGTCTACAGCCCTGGTCATCTCCCCATTCCACAGTTCAACCAGAGCCTCGACAGGAGCACCCGTCTTGTCAGCCGGAAACTCCCCCAGAGCCTTCAGGAATCCTTCCGGATCCATCCGGCTCCGGGGGCGGACCCACACAATCGGGTCTGCACCCTTACAGAGGGAGATGTCGCTCTCGAGCACAAACCTCACTAGGAACTGATCTGACCATGA